GAGCCTATATCTAAAAACAATTGAAAATTTATAAATATTTTAGAAAATATTCATATCAGAAGTTGAAAAGTGTGTTCAAGTTAGCCTACCCCGCTTTACGGTACAAATTTCATTTCAGATATTGAAAAAATGCCTAAGGTGTTCGCCATTCCCCTACTCTCCCACATTTTATGCTCCTATAATAACACTCTTTTTATAGGCACATCTTAAATGTTCATGACCAATGCATTTAACGAACAATGTAGGTTTGTAAGTTAGGCCTACAATTTCAACACCGTCAAAACTGAATAGGCTATTTTTAAGACAATTAACTCCAACCTAAGTAAAATAATTATGTACTGACTGTTTTCAATTGTCTTTAACCATTTACAAAACCAAAACTTTAACAGGCTAGTTAGACAAACTTACAACTTTTTACAATTGTCCAACATGCCTAAATTTTTTCATCTTTAAGATAAGTTAAGACTAGGCCGACTATTTAAATTAGATAACTTACCTGCTACATACTTATCATCACAACTTGATTTGATTCCCAACGAAAAGAACACAACTGATCTTTTAATAACGTTACACAGTTAATTATTTATCCTAGTTCAACTTAAACATAACTTACCTACCTAATGTTAAATTATTTGTAGACAAAATTAAAACCTGCGCAAACTTATAACTTAGACCTAAGTTAGGCTATTGTAAATTGTAGACTTAAGTTACCATTTGGTGGGCCCAAGTTTAGTTCCATAATTAGTACGGTACCTTAGTGTGTAGGCCTAAGAATACAGATTTGTAACTGAACTAAGTAAGTTAGGTTAATATCGATTAAAAATATCGATTCGATTACTTAGTAAACCTTCATTCGATTTTTTAATGGATGGACGGATCCCAATATCCCGGACTTTCAGAACGGGATTTAGGCCTACATATGATTCGGGAATTTCTCGGGAAGGTATTTGATACGATGGTTGGCGATTTTGCCACTTTGCAAGTGACTATTACACCGCTATCACGAGAGATGTTCACGCGAACGCAGGAGGTGAAGTCATTTAGACGATCACGCCGTGACTGCGAGTCATTTCAACAATCACCCCGTGACCACGGAGTCATACCGACAATCATGCCGTGACCACGGAATCATACCGACTATCATGCCGTGACCACAGAGTCATAACACTGACAATCGCGCCATGACCGTGAGTCATTTCAACAATCACCATTTCAACGAGCGGAGTCATACAGACGATCACACTATTACGATGGCGAGCCCTTTCAACAAATGTGTCGTGACCGCGAGTCACAAGTTTCTGTAAACTCAGGCCTACCTGTAAATTTTTACCCATTTTATTTTTGTTTTTATAGGCCTAGATCAGTGCCATAAACAGTAGGCCTAAAAATTGATTTTGTTTGTCTTTCATGGTAGATAACTGCAATCCTCAAGACTTAAAACAAACGCTTTTTAGGCGCAGGAAAAGTCCTGTCCCATCCCATCCCAAAAATCGGGAAGGAAATAACATGATAATCCCATCCCGTCCCAAACTAAATAGCCTATTCAATCAATTTTTTTTTTTTTTTTTTTTTTTTACTATACGAAGGCGGGTACAGTTTCTTAACTGGGCTATGCTAATATTGATTCAAACTATCGAATTGAAAATATTGATTAATAATCGATATTTTAAAATATATCTATTTTAACCCTTAATTTGACAGCGTGCCATTATTGGCACATGATGATTCAAAAAAATGTCACGATCGCCTGTTAACTTTTTAATTCCAACAAACGGCGTCCAAAGGTTCTTTGCCTATTGTTATTATGGTTTAGTGCCCTATAGTGGACGTTTTGGAAATTACTATCACTTTAGGCCAACATATAGAAAATGAAGTATGGAGGCTTAGTGTAGAAGGTTAGTAAATTACTTTTTATTTCAATATTTTAGGCTGTTTACTTATATATCTAAGTGATTTGCACGGATTAAAGATGAGAAAACATAACCCAGGTCAGTAATTAGCTTAAATACGAATATTGATTTTTTTATAAACTAAACAATTTGAGTGTGACAAAAATGGCACATTGCCAAAGAACCAGGGAACAATGAAAATTTTTGGGCGTGCCAAAAATGGCACATTACCAAAGATGCAGTTATTATTTTTTTAGTTTATTGAGCGCGCCTGAAGTGGCACACTGTTTCTAAAACAGTGAAAGGTATTTATATTTGTAAATGTATGTCTCTTATTTCCACAAATTGTAAAATAAAAATTTTTTTGTGAGGGAAGATTTTTCACTAGGCTGTTTAGAAAATACTTTGGCTTTACAAAAAATCCCGACCATCCATGGCAACAAATATCTACCAAAAAGAGTTTTATTTCCTGCTGAAAGTGAATCTCCTTATATGAAAGTTGATTGTGCATTCCGATAAAGACTTTGGTACTTACAAATATTTGCTCACCGTATCAACATATCGTGGAATAACGCATTGCAAGACAATAATATGTCACTAAAAAATTTTAGTTATGGGATTTTTGAATTGCTAACCAAAGAAAGGAGTAAAAGACAAGTTCTAAAAGACAAGGATTTACTTCTTCTCACACCATCTTCTCTGGTGTATGTTGAAGATGTACGCTTTGATGGTGTTGGACACTACCCTTTCTTTTTCTTTGTATACATCAAGAGGTCGATGCAGACTTTGCAAAAATATAAAATCGTCGATAGTGTTCAAAGTGCAATGCGAGGCTGTAACTAAAAGAAAATAGCAATTGTTTTGTGGGGTTTCACCAAAACTAGATTATGTTTCTTGATGAACATACTCTAATGAAATTTCAAACGATTTTCCTGATGGGCATGACTAATGAAATATCAATAAATTATATAATAATGTATTTTCTATTGTAATCACATAGTTTTGTGGAGGTTTTACATGTGTATACATTTTAGTTCATTTTTTGTAATGACGTTTATACCATTATATTGGATTGTGGAGAAATTGATTTTTTTATATCTTACATATAATTATAGTTATACAATTTTGATATCCAATATGTGATAATGTCGACTTATTCAAACCCTAAAGTTTATTTTTAAGTGCTATACAGATAAACTTGTTGTGTTTAATTCAACATAAGATTCCTAGAGAAATCTCCGCATCTTTGGCAAAGTGCCAAAAATGGCACACATGAAAAAATTGTGAAAAATACTTATAAGAATTTTAAAATTATTTTTTTGAAGTTCCTTTGGACCCTTTTGATTGAAATATTGCAAGGAAAAAGTAGTTTTCAACAAAAGATTTGTTTGCCAAATTAAGGGTTAAAAGGTTTACTAATCGAATCGATAGTTTCAATCAATATTATTATAGCCCAGTTAAGAAACTGTACCCAAGTAGGCCTATAAAATCAAACTGTTATAACCTAACCAACCAAACTTTGCTGATACCGGTAATGAAAAAATCGAATGAAGGTTTACTAATCAAATCGATAATTTCAATGGATAACTTATTTAAGTTTAGCCTACTTGTTATGAAACTGTTAGGCCTATCCATAAAGTAACTTAATAGTCCTAGTTCGAAACAAGTAGCCTAATAAATAATATTGATTATTTTACTATAATGTTTAAATAAATAATTAACTTAGAACCTGTTTTTACACAAACTCACCTGCCAAACTGAGCAATAGGCTTGTCGGCGATTTCAATGGCAAACAAAAATGGCCTAATCCTCTATAATAGAAATACACACTCTTGGAAAGAAACAACACACCAGTAAACACGGTTTTGTTTTAAAATAACAGTGGAATCAAAAGTAAAGCATACGTTAAAATGCAGTTGCAAAGTGTTTAGCTAGAGCCAAGAAGGAAGATGACAAGTCGACAAGACAAGAAAGTGAAGACAGCAGGCACAGCCTGACAACCATCATCCATCTTTGTTTTGTTATTCTTCTCCTTTTCTCATTCATTCTATAGTGATTTATCATAGATTAAACATACTCCTCAATGTATAGTATATTGGATTGATAGTAAGATATTGTTCATATGTAGGGCTTCTGTAATTATGATGAGAGTCGAAATGCGTATGTTTTATCTATGGCATTAGTCATTTAAAATAATTTAAAATAGGGTACTAACTGTGGTCTCTATTTTATATCAATGTATATAAATATTCCTAAATCTCAATTTTATCCTCCTCTTTCTTATGATCTGACGTGTGCTGCAAGACGAAAATGCTGCGCGGTACCCGAATTCCCACTGGACTACTAGACATGCGGCGTCACGACTCACGCCGCATCAACGCCGGACTACTAACTACTCTAGTATTCATACTAAATACTATGCATGCATTCGAAGGGCTATTGCTTCTTATCAGGGGGTTTCACATTCCCCGGCGCGCACCGCGCAGCCCTACTTCTAGTCCTGCATCTGCCCCTGGACTGGAGGGTGAAGAACCAGCGTTGCATGAAGCACCATAAACAACACTAATTTAAACAATTAGTTGGGAAAATAGTGCTCAATAAATTAACACTACTTAATGATGCAAACAATTAGTGCTCACCAGGAACAATTAATAAATGGTACTGTTAAATAGTCAATATAGGTAGGTATATATAGTCAATGGCTTAACCCATGGTGGAAGGTACAAATGTGTAAACCTACATTTATTTTTTGGAACGAGTTTGCAAACCAGCGTAATCGGCCAATAGGAACGGGAAATCAGCTGTCTACAGGTTTGCTCATTGCTTCGGTTGAGGTATTTTAATATCCTCGCAATAATAAAGTTTACGTTTTGCTGCATCTTGATGAAACAAAGTATGTTTAACATACCCCCCTATACTATTCAATGAAGCTATAATCATTGACTTTGAATAGTACGGTACTAGGGAGTATGTTTAATTTATGCTACTATCTACCCTGAGATAGTACATCCACACGTCGACGGCTACATGGCACCCTCGAAGATGATGCCCTAGCTTGGTTTATTGAATTTAACGAAATAAACAAACATTACATTGAGTGAGGTTATGTTGTTGAGTTGTTTGTTGATGTTGGTTGACTGGAACTCTTATTCAAATTCTAAAATTAAATCGTGGACTCTGTTAATAGTGTTATTTTTACATACCATTTATTTTAGCCTATTTTAATTTAGCGTAGCACATTAAAAATAAGCCCTTAGTGAATTTAACGTCAGTGGCAAGTGTGAGTCAATGGATCTAAATGCCAATTATATGGTAATCAAACAAGGAGCTGAGGGCAAGATTTACAAGGGTTTATATCTAAATAAAAGGGTGATTGTAAAGGAAAGATTTGTAAAGCATTACAGAATTAATGACTTGGATGAACATCTGACCAAGGAAAGGATGAAAGCAGAAGCAAAAACAATAGTGAAGAGCAAAAATGCTGGAGTACGCACCCCAGCCATTTACTTGGTTGATTTTGACCATCGCATTTTAGTAATGGAAGAAATTGTTAACAGTGTTACAGTGAAAGACGCTATAAATGAACTTACTAGTTTACAAGCGGATGGTGATGTCAGAGGAAAGTTGGAAACAATTTGTCAGGAAATTGGTTTAGCTCTAGGAAAGCTGCACAAGAATGGAATTGTGCATGGCGATCTCACAACATCTAACATGTTATTGAAGCAAAATAGTCCAGAATGTGAACCAGAACTGTACTTAATTGATTTTGGACTCAGTCTTCTTGATGCATCACCTCAAGATAAAGGTGTTGATTTATATGTGTTGGAGCGTGCCCTTATTAGTACTCACAAAAACTCTGAACAGCTTTTTGATCTTATCTTGAAAGCTTACCAGACAGTTTATAAGAAGGGGAGTTGCAGTGAAGTTATGAGTAAGCTTGAAGAAGTAAGAGCTAGAGGTAGGAAAAGAACCATGGTAGGTTGATGAGTTTGAGAATTTATTGCTGTACAGTAGTAATTATTGCACAAAGTAAAAATACAGAACATTTTATATTTGAATCTTGTTATTCACCTTTTTTCGCTTTAAGCAGTTTTTCACCCATGTAAAAAAACCATTTCAAATTATTATTGCAGACCAAAGAACTCGTGCATGGTAATGCTTAGGGCCTACTCATGAATCCAATTTAAAAGTGATTATTTTTATTTTCAAACACTAAGTTAACTTATAGGAGGAGACCCATGCGCAAATTGTGCATTTTAATAGAGTGTTAAGCAATAGCTTATATGAATAGCCTAATAATTAATCCATTTAACCTAGTGATAGGAACAACTGATTGAAAACAACTGATTCAATCGATTGTTGGAAGTTCTCATGGATTTAATGGAAACTAGTCACTTCAAACTCCCAGTCCTACGGCGGCGACTAGAATCAGTCAACTTTTCTTTGGAATAACTGGAAACAGTCAAATGTCAGTGATTGAAACTAGTCGTAAGAACCATACTGACATTTGTTAAGACTGACTGGTGAATGAAAACGGTTGTAGATAAACTATTGTAGGTACTGTACTTAAATTGTGAACAGTGTTTCAGTATAGTTAAAATAATGTAATTATGTGTATTTTTTATGTCTTTAAAAATGTTTAATTTCTAAGTCACTGTTTTTTAAGTATTGTACTAATGATTTAGATGTAAATGACTAATGGAGTAATCTGCTTCAAATACCATAACCAGTTAAAAACAACAGAATGACTAGTCGATTGTTTTTTCCAGTCGGTTGTCCCATCACTACTACAAACATGACTTTGTAACAACAAAGTTTAAAATTTAACCCTCCAAGTGTCATGCGTCGCTGCAGCGACTCACGAACACTGTTTACGGCGAATGCTCTGACTGACAAAATCGGATTGAACTGGATCGAGTTAGGTATCGTTCTTTTCGTTAGATTCTAAGCTTTCTCCAGAGGTCTGTCTCTAAGCGCTTTATGTTCTCCGAGCCGATCGTAATAATTGTAGCAGACAGCTGACGTGCGTATTTGTAAACAGGTTAGTTAACCTCGGACCGATGACTGATGTGTTTTATTATGTTTATCATTGTTTTAGTGTTAAAAATCAAAAGTAGTGATATACGTGGTGCATTATAAGAAGATTTAAGTGATTTTGAAGGGCTGGTTGATGATCCTGAAGAAGTAGGTAGTGATATTGATGTAAATTATCAGCCAGATTCCTAGCTATGGTTAGTATATGCATGAGACGTAGGAATTGGCTAACTCAGGAACTCGCTAACTCGGTCGTATGGCGGAACTGGCTAACTCTGGAACTGGCTAACCGTCTCAGTCAGGAATTGGCTAACTCCGGAACCCGCTAACTCGATTTTGTCTCGCGGCGGAATTCGCTAACTCTGGAAGTCGCTAACCCGGCCGCGCCCACTGCTCGGAGCGTTGCCAACCTTGTACGACAAAATAATCGTACACTGCCGTATTTCAAAATGTCAGTGTCTATAAAGATACAGTAAATGTTATTGTTTTTTGTTATCAATTCCACTTTTAACAGATAACTAGCCCAAAGTAATTAAAAGACAATTAAAAAAGTGTTTTTTATTAAACTGTACAATGGCCAGTTAAATGTTTATGATTTCGATCTTAAATATAAATGCCATCAGTATAAAAGAAAATAATAGAATATGAAAAATATTCAAAATTTAGTTTAATTGGTAATAAATAATTAAACCTCTACGAAATTGAGCTAAAATACACGCAAGTTCTTAAACACGGAAAACAGATTTAATTGTAATGTCGTAATAAACCAAAACCATTAATTAATACGGTCATGAACCATCGTAACTTTCATAACTAATTCATAGATTTTAAATTAAATGTTCGTCGTTGAACCGTCCAACTTATGATGACATAAACTAAGTTTTTATCTAGGCCTAATAGTTTGAACCAAAGCGTTGTAGGCCTACTAGTAAATAGTTGCCTAATTCTAAAATGTGTTGAATTTTTTAGCAATAATGTTACATGTTTTAAAACAGTTTTTAGATTGTACACCTAAGCACCACTAGTAAAAAATAGGAGAAGATATAATATTCATATAATAAAACGTGACAGGGTTATTTTTTATTCACGATTTTTAATAAACTAATTGACGGATTTTCCTGATTTTAGTGTTGGGTTTCCTTTACAGTATATTGCTTTCACAATCGATATAAACTATACCAAGCCATTGCTCGGTTCACCGTTCCCCAGTACTGAGCTACACAATAGACAATAGCTTTGTTTTTTTATAAGATAGAACCAGCCTGGAAAAAAACTCCAGACTTTTAAAAAGTAAGCCTACTGAAAGGCGTAAAATTAATATTAATTCAACAAAATTAAGAGGATGACCCGGGTTCTAAATTAATAGCATAGATAAAACATACTGGTTAGTCTATGCTAATAGCCTACGATAAAAGAAATTTACAAGTTGTATTTATGCATAAACTAACTTTTAATGCAATCCATGAATACATTAGGCCTTCCACTTTATAATGTACCGGTATTGATAAATATTTATTTAAATTCAATAGCTCTATTTAAAAATACATAACCACTACAATGTAATTCTGTAATGACGTTTAACGTGTACATTTTATTATGATTTAAGGTTACTACAAGCCCAGTATATAAAATACGAACTCAATAATTTTATTTGCAGAAGTTCACAAAATGGTATTTATTCGAATAAAAGAAACAAATGGCGGACTACGAAAATAGATATTTCATAACATGTAATAGATCCAAATTAAATGTGTCTTTTATCTTTTTCATACCAATAAGCTACTATTTAAGTAAGAAACCCACATATAAAACATACTCCCTTATATTAGTACATTTCTCATCCTTATGGATCATCTGAAGACAGTTGTATTGTTAGTTCTGTCCGGTGCACTGTCTTTAGAGGTCGAGTTTTGTTTACAATTGTTTCTTGTTTTCAGTAATTTAAAACCTCGTTTAACCAAATAAAACGTTCTAATCACAACTAATAACACGTCCCCTAGTTATATAACCAAACAGTAAGGAACAAATCATGAAGTTAACTATAAAATAATAGAAACACAATTTTGTCGACACTAGCGATCAGTGTCACCGGACATGAACTAGACACGAAAAACGAGCTTCAAAGTTTACAATGGGATGTAAAGTTTACTTGTGTTGGTTAGTCTATGGTAAGACTATAATGCATTTTCCACCCTAATAATCATAAGAACTTCTCTGTGGTTAAACATACTTCTAAATATATTTATTTTATCGACTACGTTGCTCTTACTCCTAATTAATCGTAGGATACGACATTATGGTGCCGATACGATATAGGTACTACACTTTCGGCAACACTGGCCAAAAATATTCGTGCTTGGCTCCCATTGGACGGCCCGCGAGGCTTCTGATTGGGAGTTAGCGAGTTCCGCCGAGGGACCGAGTTAGCGACTTCCGTACGAGGACGGAATTCGCTAACCCGGCTCTAGAGCGGGTTAGCGGGTTCCGGAGTTAGCCAATTCCGAAACCGAACAAGTTAGCGAGTTCCTCTCATCGACCAAATTTGAAAATAGGGCATTTAACATGGGGTTAGCGAGTTCCAGAGTTAGCCAATTCCGCGGACCCATATGCATTCTTAGCTAAACGCTATGTCCTGAAATCTGTTTTTTGCCCATAACTTATTTATTTGCAAATCTACTTCCTTATATTATTATATATTTGTAATCCTCATAAAATTTAGAACAAAGTGGCTATTTTCAAATATTTATAGGCCTATAATTTATACAATTTCATTGAGCGCAAACTTATTTTTTTTTTCAATTTTTCCAAAAAAATTTTTATTTTTACCTAAAAAATTTTTTTTGAAACAAATATTCCTTAGGTTTTATGTATGATATTGAAGCCCATGATTTTCCAAACAAAATGGTATATAGAACAGTAGAATTAACATTGTTTTAAGCTTTTCAGATCCGTTTTAATAAAAGCTTGCAAATGCGCCAAAAATAGGCGGACATTAAGGCCTAAACTATGGACACTCGGAGGGTTAAGAAAATCACATTAACTTAAGTTAGGATAAGTTAGAGGCTTTAATAAAACTACTAATAGGCTACTACTAATAACATATAGGTATGCAAAATAAGCCGAATGCAGATCTACATCATATATGGTCACCTTCTTACTTCAATCAGGTCATTTAATTATAAAATAGCCTGTGCTTTAACCCATTTGTAAACAGGTTAGTTAACCTCGGACCGATGACTGATGTGTTTTATTATGTTTATCATTGTTTTAGTGTTAAAAATCAAAAGTAGTGATATACGTGGTGCATTATAAGAAGATTTAAGTGATTTTGAAGGGCTGGTTGATGATCCTGAAGAAGTAGGTAGTGATATTGATGTAAATTATCAGCCAGATTCCTAGCTATGGTTAGTATATGCATTCTTAGCTAAACGCTATGTCCTGAAATCTGTTTTTTGCCCATAACTTATTTATTTGCAAATCTACTTCCTTATATTATTATATATTTGTAATCCTCATAAAATTTAGAACAAAGTGGCTATTTTCAAATATTTATAGGCCTATAATTTATACAATTTCATTGAGCGCAAACTTATTTTTTTTTTTCAATTTTTCCAAAAAAATTTTTATTTTTACCTAAAAAAATTTTTTTGAAACAAATATTCCTTAGGTTTTATGTATGATATTGAAGCCCATGATTTTCCAAACAAAATGGTATATAGAACAGTAGAATTAACATTGTTTTAAGCTTTTCAGATCCGTTTTAATAAAAGCTTGCAAATGCGCCAAAAATAGGCGGACATTAAGGCCTAAACTATGGACACTCGGAGGGTTAAGAAAATCACATTAACTTAAGTTAGGATAAGTTAGAGGCTTTAATAAAACTACTAATAGGCTACTACTAATAACATATAGGTATGCAAAATAAGCCGAATGCAGATCTACATCATATATGGTCACCTTCTTACTTCAATCAGGTCATTTAATTATAAAATAGCCTGTGCTTTAACCCAATTTTTATTTCAACTGTTTAAGTACCTAATCTTTGTTTACAATCTGGCAATGGTTAAAAACTTTATCTGGTAAATTAATATTCATTTTAAGACTGATACACGGGCCTTTCACACCTACGGTTTCTGCAGTCCGTTTGAAAACAGTAATTTTTACGCCAATTCTATGTTTCTTTCACTTGCACGGTTTCTGATCTTAGGGGGGAGGTGAATGTGTTAATGTCACACACAATAACATAAATACCCCCGCCGCAGCAAACCTGCAGACTAAGCGAATTTCCATTTCCCTGAATGGATTTACACTAAAATGTCTCCTTAAAATTATCACATTTATTCCCTATTTAAATAGAATCAGTTTAAAACATACTTAGGTTTGCTGCAACAGGGAGGGTAAAAGTGTTTTTTATGTAAAATGTTAATAGTTAGTAAGAAATAAAAACATTTTCCAAATTTGGGCAAAATATGTTTAACAAGCAAACTACAACAGTTTACTTATTCTCCATAAGAATAACATGGGAATTTTAAATTTACAATTTTTTGGAATTTTCTCCGTAACCATTAGGCGCATTATAACGGTTCAATATACTAAATTATTTGTTTTTTTTAAGCTCTACAAAATAGTTTCGAAAGAAATTGCAAAATTTTATGTTTTTTGGGTCAAAAATGGGAAAAACCCATTTTTACCCCATAACAGCCCCCATAAACCCCCGTTCCCATGGTCCGATCATGCTGGTTCGCGAACTCGTTCGAATAAACGTAGGTTTACACGTTTGTACCAAATTTCATCAAAATCGGATCATTTTTGCTCGAGTTATAGCGCTAACGGACACATATATATAAATATATATAAATATATATACATATATATATATATATATATAAATATATATATTAAAATTAAAACATATATAACAAAGTACCCTTTTAGTAATTATTTTATTTTTCATGACGACATGTTTCGGAACTAAGTCCATTGTCAAGTCATTTTTACCATAACCTCATTCTTTAAACTAACAAAATTAAAAATATAATCATATGTAAAAATAATAAAATATGTTAACTAAATCTTAATACATTTTGGTATTAATTTTTTTCATTATACTATATGAATGTTTTTCTTTCTTTCCTTAGTTTTTCAATTTTATCGTAGATAGGTTGGTTTAATTTTGGAATCATTGTGTTGAGTATGTTGTTGGGGTCCTTTTTGTTGTGTATATAAATATTTAGCTCTTCTTTCACATTAAATATATATATATATATGAATTTGAACGGATGGTGTTTTTGACCTCTAGGGACCTCAAAACGAAAAAAAAAATCGGTCCCGGGTCCAGGTCTTACCGTGAGTACTACGGTAATAGCTTATTCCCTATATGGGAAATTCGCTAAAAGAGATTTATAATTGACAGGTCAGATTGTAAACGATAAAGATTGCAACACCTATTCTATTTGCATTGGCTGGTGGGCTCCCGTTGTATTGAAACCCCTGCTGTATGAAAGATTGCATTTAACTACATTTGCCACTGATGCACGGCCTCGTCACGACAACCATCCGGCTCAGTGGCAGTGGATGGCTACAAGACAGCACGAGTTTCTGTCGTCGCCGTAACTGTGGTGTGAAAGCTCTCATGCTCTTCCATAGGGTAGAAAAAGTGTAGTTTGAGATGAGCGTTATAAAGCAGGTTGGTAGGCAGCACTGCTTCTAACTAATTTTCTAGTTTATAAGGAAAACTGTATTTTTTTATGTATTCCGACATAAGCAATGCAATCAACAGGGTGTCCACAGAAAATTTGTCATTTATTTCCATGACTCACGAACTTTACTTGAAAATTATAATATTCATATACACACGAAAAATACTGCCTAAACAAGTTATTTCACAGAATATACCGAAATATGTATTAACAGAAAACAATGGAGTAATACATTTTGCTAAAATATGGCATTCAAAGTAAGGAAGGAAAAATGAAAGTCCAGACTCTGCCGTCCCCATAGCTGGCCAAGTTCTCTCCCCTTTTTCATTTTTCAAAACTCATAAACTAATACAACTGTAATAAATTGAATTGTCATAAATTTGTGAGAACAACTGTAATAAATTGAATTGTCATAAATTTGTGAGAAATCCTGAAAAATGCTACAATAGTTGGTGTTAGAACTATGTATTTATGTATGTATGTGGTGTCTATGTATATTCTCTACTGCCTGCCATTTGAAGATAAAACCACATGTTTTATTAACTTAATTGTTATGATAAATTTATATTACTTGTTTACATTTAATCAGTTTCATTCTCAACTATGTTAATAAACCATCTATTTTTTTCATCTCTTTAATTAAGTAAAATCTTATCAATCTTACAATCTATCATTAACAGTTGGGGTTACGGCCGACTAGTGCATTGAAAAGTTCCCTCAAATCCATCCATCATTGGGGATTTCCCTGACTTTCCATGACCTTTTGCCTATTTCCATGACTTTCAATGACCAGCATTTTTTCCATGACTTTCCAGAATGTGGACACCCTGAATCAAGTATACCTGTTCAAATAAAGAGCTTTTTGACTTTCTCTCTATAAGTTTCCCAAAAATAATATCTTTATTATAACTACTGTAGCCTGTGTACCTGTGATTTCGCAATGGCAGAAGATCTGCTTTGGTTGTTAAAAGTCAAGGATAAAAAAACACAGAAGTAAAAGTTGATAAAGATTATAATTACAAAGAACTGCTAACTACTTCAATACAAAAAGTAAATAAAGTTGAGACAAGAAATATCCTAAACACAAAAAAATACATTCAAGACAGTACTTGGTATCATTTAGGTTTAGTTTCTTGATCTGTGACATAGCGAATGAAGACATTATTCTCTGGCATAGGGTCAGGCAGAGGATCTTCTTCGTACATGTAGGAGCAAGCGATGGCCAGGACTGAACCTGAAACATGTTCTTTTTTTAACATCTATCACACTATCACTTGATCTATCACTTTGATTTTAAACGTTGAAGCTAACTGCCCACATTTTGTCCTCTTATTTGTACATAAGCTGCTTAGGTGAAGTAATAAGTTAAGCAGATAGACAACTATAAAGAAATACATTGAGGTAGGGCTGGTCTAGTGTTTAGAACTCGGGACTCCCATCCTTAAGGTACAGGTTCGAATCCTGCTTATCACTAGAAGCTTTAAGCTAGGGTAAAGTGGGAACAACTAGCTTTACTTTGTAAAATATATATGTGTATATGTACGAGGCTTGTCCAGAAAGTAAGTACCGTTTTGTTCTACCCCCGCACAGTGCTAACAACGATGTTACGCGCATGTGCACTAGTCTCCTTGGTTCATTTGTTAACAGCTGACGCAATAACGGCAAAATTGTGTTGTGTTTTCATTAGTTAGTGTGCGCTCAAAATGTTAGAAACAATTTCTGATCCCGCGGACTGTAAAGTGCGTTCTGTAATACAATTTTTGAATGAATGCAAGGAACGTGACAGCAAGAAGCCTGCTGAAATTGATCGCCAACTTACAGGAGTTTATGGAGAAACAGTTATCACTGATGGAATGGCAAGAAAATAGGTTCGGCAATTCAATGATGCACCAATATTCATGACAAGGCTCGCAGCGGGCGGCCATCTGGTGTGAGTCAGGAATTTAATTGAAAAGGTGAATGAAAAAACTTGTGAAAACAGACGTTTCACCATAAGAATGCTTTCTGATTAATTCCCACAGATTTCAAAATCTCTTTGGCATGATATTGTGGTTATTTGCTTTAATTATCAAAAGATGTGTTCCCGTTGGGTTCCGAAGATGCTTACGGATGAACACAAAAAGAAGCGACTTGGCAGTGCCTTGACATTTTTCACCTGTTTCAGTGATGAAGGGGATGAATTCTTAAACGAGTTTGTTACAGGTTGTGACGTAATTTTCCTAGCGGGCGACAAGTGGGAAATTACGCCACCAATAAGAAAACGAGATCCCAGGATTCGCCCTAGTCTGGTCGCGGGGAATTTTCCCAGGATTCGATAGTGATTCGGATAGCCTAAATTTGATAGCCCTGGTTAACAGAGCTCGGGACGAACGTTGCGGGTTACCCAAACACCCAACTCGAAATCACCACTCTAGCCTAGGGCTTGTGGGGAAATTAATAATTTTGACTTGACTCTGTGGGCAATTATCTTAATGACACACTACTAGCTAACTTAACGAGAGAACAGGTAAGCTAGGTAGTCACCCCGCTTACCTACGGAGTTAAGTCGTCAACCTGTAACAAACAAGGTTAGTACAAGATAGGCCTAACCTAGCCTAATTCCCACAGAGTCCGAATTTATTAAACGAAAAGAAAACAAGTTAGCCTAAGTGGTCCAGGTGAGGAACAAACAAAAAAAAAACAAAACTAAAAGGTGAAACTGCTCCTTGAGCCAAAAACGAAAAATTAAAACTTCTGCTTCCTCACGTGGTCGACTTAAGCAAACCTAGACAAACTTGGTCCAGCAGAGACCTGTCTGCTGGGACGAACTTCGGGACGTGAGGGTACTTTTAAAAGGGTTAAAGACCTAAGAGGAAAATTCCCAATACGGGCGACGTACGCTAATTAAAGTGATACGTCACCAACTGTAATAGTAAAAGCAAAAAACAAAAAAGAGTTGGTTAAGCTGTATAACTATGGCGGAATAGTCAGGCCTAGCCTGTAAAAGTTGGCTGGGAATATCGAATTATCACACTTTGAGGACTAACCCCAATAACGCCAGTTGAGTATTATGGTAACACTCACCAATCGAAGATCCAGACTATACGTACGAAACACTCTAGACGAAAACTCGCACACACACTACCACTAAAATGCACGAGAAACGAAAGAAGACGAATATATTCTCAACTCGAAGGGAAGCCGGTTGGAGTTAGAATGACGACCTTCTTCTTACCCCTCGAAAATCCCCTCAATCCCCTCACGCTCACCTCTGATTGGTCAGAGGTTAACAAAAAAAACCCCAAAAAACGAAGCTTGATGCTTGAGGGAAGGCGTAAGAAGAACTAGAGCAAGAAGAAGCAAAGTGGGAAGGAAGATGAAGAAGTAAGGCGGAGAAGTAAAACTGGAGCAGACGAAGCTCCCCGAAAAACAGTGCGGCGGTTTTTACTTCCTCTCTCCCAGTCGTCTGCTGGTGCGTCTGTCACCTCGGTTTCGTTTCGAAGTTAGGTAACGACGTTGAGGTTAAGTTGCAACAGTTACGTTAGTGCCACGACTAGGCCTACTCAACAGCTTATAATTAGCTGTTTAAACATCGTGGTTTAAATCGTTATTTTTACCCCCCTACCCATTTGACCCGTTACAAGGTGATGAAACTTGGGTTTGTCATGTCACTCCCGAATCCAAACAACAATCAATGGAATGAAGACACTCACAATCCCCCCGAAATCAAAATGTCAAAACAACTTTGACGAAAAGAAAAATCATATGCACTGTGTTCTGGGACAGAAAGGGCTTTTTGCTTGTTGATTTTCTACCCAGAGGGGAAACAATCAATGTGGAAAGATATTGTGAAACCCTGAGAAAACTTTGGAGTGCGATTCAGATCAAAAGACGTGGAATGCTTAGTGAAGGCATTGTGTTGATCCATGACAACGCAGCATGTCCCCATTCTGCTGTTGCCACTCAAAACCTTATTCACGGATTTGGTTGGGAACAGTTTGACCATCCACCGTACAGCCCTGATCTGGCACCTTCTGATTTGCACTTGAAACGGGATTTCGGAGGGCGCCGCTTTGACAGGCCCCCTCATCTAAGCCACTCCAAGTCCCCTACAGTGACAGTACGCCACTGCCCTCCCTGTAGCAGCAAACCTTGGTACTCATTAAATCTAATGTTATTGAAATAGTTTTTCATTGAAAATCAAATCAGGCAAATGGAAATTCGCTTAGTCTGCAGGTTTGCTGCGGCGGGGGTATTTAAATAATCCCACTTCATTAGGTTTGTTCCCATGCATGCATTTTGCTGCCCATTACAGTTCTCTTTATTAAAAAATGTTGATAAAAGTACAAACCACTCTTTAACTTACCATCATGGCTGAAGGACAAGGACGCTATGGATGTGTTGTATCTATGGAACTGGCACAGACGTTTCTTGTTCTGGCCATCCCATATATTCACATAACCATCAGAGCCTCCTGTTGCGAATGTATTGTAGCCTTGGTGAAAACTGAAAAAAAACCGGAACCGTACAGTAATCAGTGTATGTCCAAGGACGATACAGTTTAGATCAAGTGAGAATTGCTTTCAGAAAAAAATGTTGGGTGTGTAGTAAAACTTGAAGGAAAGCATAAAAAAAGTAAAGATAGAACGAATATACAAAAGACATTTAGCCTAAGTTGTTTGCTTAGTCATTTGAAAATAGTAAAAAAAACCTTTTGCCTTTTTTCTAGCTTTGTCTTGTAACAGGTATTTATAACTAAGTAGAAGCAAATATGTGATGGAAACACTAGATACTGAAGGTCCATAAAAAACAAATTTGAATTGTACTTTTGTATGATTCAAATCAAAGCTAATATGGTTATTACTTGTTATTAATTTTAATCTTTTTTAAAAGGTTGGCAGCCTCTTTTAACCTTGCATTTGCCCGTCCACATAGGCTACAGACCTGTGTGTGGAACGTATCCAGCAACGCAAGGTGTACAGAACAAGGGTGAAAGGTACTGATAAAAAGTAACGGCAGTGCCCAGGATCTGAACCCACGACACCACTGCCTTGGGCCTGGAGTCTGCAACGCTACCGACTGAGCCACAGACTCACCTTCATTAACACACAGCAGAAACTTGTGTTTGGAAAGATACTCTTTTTTAAATCAAGAGTCATTTAATTAAACCTTTTTACCTGATAGCATTTACAGGATATATTTTCTCTATTCCTCCTTCTTTGAGCCTGTGGCACTTGAAAGCGTACTTCTTCTTCTGCATTTCAGCTCCAGTGTCCAAGTACTCTACAGCAACCCTTCCTTCTATGCTGCTGAGCACATATCCCTAAAATTTACATTCTTTCATTATGATTGTAACTCACTTAGAATTTGTTTATCGTAAAATTACAAAGCCTCACTAAATTGAAAAGTTGGAAAAAGGTAATGTTTTCAAATCATTATACGGTGCCCAAATAGGGATTATTGGGTTCAAATAGCACTACAGTTTTCTTTTTCAAATAGCAAATATTTATGTTATTATATATTCACCAAAAATGAGTAGCCTACTATAGTCGAGACCCATCTCAACATTACCAGTGACACTTGCCTGTTTGTTGGGGAAGCATCGAATGCAGCGTGTTTGGTACTTGAGGCTGGATTCTCGTCGCTGCTGTATGTAGCCCATGTTGCGGAGATCCCACACATAGACCTTTCGTCCTGCAGTCCCGACGACAAACTTTTCCCCACACAAACTCATGGTGTAAACCTGCAAACATAAACCATAATCAACTAAATGAAGACATTTAAACATTATCCTTAGTTCAATATATTAACCTAATAATAGGAAAGTAGATGAGTGGGAGTCACTTAGATCATTTAAATCTCTCTATGACTTCTTACTGAAGCCATTCGCCCTAGCACAACGTTAAGTTCTCGACTACTTTTGAAAAAAAAAAAACAAAACATTAATGCATACATTGTAACTCGGTTCCTGGTACAAAATCAGTATGGTAAGTGGCTACCAGTAAGCACAGAGTAAGATTATTGTCTTATCATTTACAAGGTTAACATCGTCACATAGCAATCATTAGTTTATCTTAGGCACAATTAAATTTTCCTATTATATTTTACAGCTCTATCAAAGAATCAAAATACCCAGGCCTAGACCTAATTATTTAGGAGGGCCTATATAGATTGAGTAACAAACAATAAGGTTATAATAGCAGCAAAGTCACTATCGTCATTCTAGTTCATAAGATTTAGATTGTTAAAGCACACAACACAATTAATAAATATGGGAAAAAAACAATTGAAACCTGAACAGCCAATATAAGGCCTGTGTAATGATAAAAAAAAAATTAATGCTAACAACAATGTTTGTATGGTTTTGTCAATTGAACGATAAAATATCAGCAACTTATTGTTACTCGCTTATTTTTATTTTGTTCCCTTTAGTCCCTTTTAGTAGGGGACCTCCTGTTCAGATGTAGAAATTAGTGAGAATAATTAATTTTCTCATTTTAGTTTTGATTGAATAGTAAACATTTTATTATTAAGTAGCCTATCTTAATTTATTTCTAATCTCAACTAAGTATAAACCGGTTTTGCTGTTTAATTTTACTATTCGAGTTTTGGGATTTAACTTTTAGGGCCAACTGTTAGTTAATAAATGTACATGTAAACAGGTTTTGCTGTTTAATTTTAATATTCAAATTTCGGGATTTGACTTTTGGGGCCAACTGTTAGTTAATTAATGTACAAACAAACTGAGTAGCCCATTTGAATGATAATTGGGTGAACAAATCTTAAAAGATTTTTTTTACCAAACGACCGTGGAAAAACAATTTATTTAGAAGAAAATTAATTATTCTCACTAATTTATATATATGAAATAATGATTTATTCCACCATAATTACATAAAATACAAATCAAATAAAAACTCGGAATTACGTTGCCACGGCAACCAGTTAATGTGACAACGTTATATGACCAGGGCCCTGTTTCATAAAGATACTAGTCTAGTAATTACTAGTCAAGTAAATACTAGTCCCGTATTTACCTGTCCTACTAATTTGTGTTTCATAAACGTTTTTATACAGCTAGTAAATACTAGTGTATTTTACTAGTCACGTGACCAAAAATACTAGTCACGTGACCAACTTTACAAGTGAACTGTCAACACTAATTTCTAACCTCAATCACGGGTTTTCTGGCGCTTTATAAAGGGTTTAAATTTTGTTTTCATTTGATACAAAAAGTAAATAGTTGTAGAAACGCAGTGTTTTCTTTTAATTAATAACTATATAGACACATAAGTAAAACAATCACATATTATTTATCAAAACGCTATTATTTGTTCATCAATGAGCCCGCCGACGCGCCGCAGCGTCACGTCGCTGCAATCAACACGGTGATTGTAGTAGCCGGTTGTAGGCCTAGTTAGTTGCGGCGCTCAACAGTTGGGTGGAAATTGATCTGTTGCTGCCGCATTCGCTGTGATTTGTATAATTTTTGTTTTATTCTGACATATAAAATTAAGCTTGCTATGAGTAAAGAAAAGAAGGCTCTAATTTTGAATGTATCGTCTAAGGACATTTTGTTAGGAACGTTTTCAAGTACCCTAACCTATGTTTTCAAAAATTCGAATGCATAAGAATATTTGGGTTAGAAACCATTCTGTGATATTCTAATTTTGAGTCTACAAACCATGAATAATAAGCCTAAACGTTTATTGATGTAACAAATAATTGCAACGTCGTTACAAGCAATGGAGAAGTAGGTTTTCAAGTATAGTAAAACATGGCATATGCGCTATTGCAGGGCGTAGCTCAGAGGTAGAGTTTTCGCTTCTCATGTGGTGGGTCCCTGGTTCAAATCCACACCACTCACTATACTTTAGTTCCATTAATTAAACTTTTACATGTTTTACATTAAAATAACAGCTCTAATCAACATCTAATTTTTTTATTACTTTGAATAACAAATTCTGAATATTGATTAAAAGTAATGTTTTTATGGTAAGCAGTTCAGTCCAACGCCTAAAAATCAAATATAGGCCTACAAAATTGTTAGTACATCACAGGGTTTTAGCTATTTAGGGAAACAAATAATAAGCACCTAAAAAAATACAATGCAACTCCTCTTTAAAATTGTCTTACTATTATTTCCTATTAAAATTTCTTTAAATAAAACCTCTTAAAAAATAGCCTTGGGTGTAAAATAATCTGATTAATGTTGCAATGTTAAGATACGTTTTTGTACATCTTTGTATGCAATACGGTATGCGGTTTTAATTTGGTTTCTCTCAAAGCTTAGAAATCTTTTCTCTGTGATAGCTAAATAGTTGATATAACCATAAAATTTAACTCAAGTAAAATTAGACTAAAATTTCACAGAAATTGATAACTTGTAATTATATTTAATTCTAATAGGGCGATTGTACATACATTATAAAATTAAATTTCACTCATTTTGTACTACGCCACATTTATTGATTGTGATTTATATCTAATAATAATTATCATTTTGGAACTAGGATCTATTTTTATCTTAAATTGCAAACGTGAGCCAATTCGCACTTACAAAAAGAACTTAATAATTCATTTTTTTAAATGATGTGGGTAATGAAATAACTCTCTTTCCAAAAATACTAGTCTACTTCAAATAATACGGGTGTAGAGAGGTTGTTAGAAAATGGCAAGTATTTACCAGTGTAATTTACAAGAGTAAAACTTTATGAAACACATTGCTGTCTACACTAGTAAAAACCACTAGTAATACTAGTCCCTACACTAGTAACTAGTATTTTACACTAGTAGGTTTTTGAAACGTAGACTTGTAAAATACACTAGTATTACTAGTCCATGGACTAGTAAATACTAGACTAGTAGTTTTATGAAACACGCCCCAGGGGGTAAAATTCTGGGCTTTACATTTTAAGCTGACCTCATGAAGAGGTTTTTAAGTCCAGGGGTAAAATTTCGGCCCGTACACTCTAGGTTTTATAATTTGATGTGTTCTGATTAAATTCACAACCGTGAAAATATATGTTTAATTCCACCTTAAATTATTGATTTGATGTTGTGCAACTCAAAAGTTTGCGTCCTGAATTTTACCCTCTTGTTTGTGACGTCAGTTTTGCTAAGGGGTAAAATTCCAGGGGGAGAAAATTCCGCTATCCCCTCGTTTAACTAAATATCAGTTTGTTGCCAGCCACAGCCTGCTTTTAACTTTACTTAAGACAATTTAATGATACAGTATAACCTAGATAACAAGACACATTGGATTTAAATAAGACTTTTTATCAAGGTTTGTAATAAAATTGCGATTATAGGGATCATCTATTTCAAAGATTTGAAAATGTTGTTATCAAGGTTCCACTGATGTTACCTTATCGGGCTGTGTGTAGTTCCCGACACAGCGTGAGGCTCTGGGGTCCCACATTTTAACTGTGGCATCCCAACTCCCAGTCAAAATTCCGTTCACTTCACTGGAGTACTCCACAGCTCTGATTGCACTGTCATGTGTTCCCAGTACACTTTCTGCAATTCGAATGGATGCCAGTTTATTTTTAATAAGCACTATATTCTAGCAATGTAAAGTAGGCTACTTCATGAAATACCATTGCTTAGAAGCCTGAACTATTACCCTCTAGGATTCATCATTACCACCATAACCTGTACTGGATTTCTTGTTCACCGTGCATTATATGCCATATGTGAGGTAGCCAATTACTAAAAATATCATTCAAGCTGTGTCAATTGCCCTCATGACCCAAGTCAAAATCAAATCAAATATCATTTATTCTATTAAAGTTGAATGGTTTACCGAAACAGTTTACAGAGCCTGCAGTCATGGGGCTAAGAAGGTCGATGATTAGCTTTTGGAGGAAATAAGAAGGAAAGCCCTAGTGGTATAGTTTAAAAGGCCTGGCCAAGTAATGTGCTAAACAGTTCGTCCTAAGAGATGAAGGTTTTTTTAGCCCGTAGTCTGGGGACATTGAGCCCATTGTGCCGGGAGTCTGGCACTATTGAGAGGACATTGAGCATCTAAATGTGCGTAAATGCATTTTTTACCTTCTCTCTACTCTACAAAAAAAAAAATCTTTTTACATTGTAAGCAATTCGGATAATTGGAGTTCTACTGTAGGCTACATGGCTTATTGGCGTACTGCATGGTGGACTTGGAATGGAAAATAAACATATCTACATATTAATGAATTATTGGTGTCTTAAAAATGTGTTCAGATGTCACTCGAGGCACTCAGAATTTGTTAAGCGTTGTTTCTCGAGCTGCTATTTACACACCTAACGATTCAAATATATTTATTCAAGATATTACATGTATGGCATTGCCAGGTTTGCAAAACTTGTGGGCGAGGACCAATAGATTTTTTGAAAAATTACAAAGTTTACCTTATTTTTTTTCTTTTAGTCTTTTTTAAGTATAAAAAAGTTATGATACTAGTTGGTTCTAAGGTGGCTTTGGCAGGCACTTATTTTATTATATTATATATTTAATCTATTTAATGATGTATTTACAATGATTATTTAAATAAAATAGTTGTTGGAACATATTGCATTTTAACAAAAACACTTAAGTACAGATCAAGAATATAATGTACACTTGAAGTTAAGATTACTAAGGTTGCCTGTTCAGTCTTTAATCCAAGTATATAAAATTGCTACAAAATTAGCTCACCTGAATTGCTATTGAAATCATACATTTTAAGCGTATTATCAAGACCTCCACTGAAGCTGTGAACAGCATCCTGAAACATAGCAATTAGAATTAATCTAACTTAATAAACTTGATATTTGGACTATTCTCCGTGCACTCAATCCCCACAAACACGATTAAATGGGATTTAGCATGCGTTTTTTTACCCATATAAGCTAGTTTATTTTAGTATAGTTTGACAATGTCACCTGTTTTGTCTGGCTGTGCCAGAGCATTAAAAAAAACGTTTTGTGACAATAAAGATGACTTTGACTTTGCGTTCTTGCAGTACTCATCCACCGCGTGATCGGATTATCAAGACTCAGCTGTATTTGAAAAGAATAGTAGAGCATGACATGGAAATCAATTCTTGACGTGTCTAGGCACTGTAGTGGTGGGCCATTGTTTTAACTCTGGGCTTCCAGACTGACTTAATATGTTTCTGCAAGAAAACAGCAGTATTTAAAAGCCAAACAATGAATTCTGTAATGAAATGATTTCCTGGATTAGGCCTATATTAAAGAACAATGATCATTCCAATTAGTTTTAAGTTAAGCCAGAGTAAGTTAGGATGAGTATGAATTAATTTAAAATAAGTTAGAGGTATGATGTGTTTTAACCTACCTGGAAACAGACATCAAGCACAGGTCTGTCATGAGAATATTTAATTCTCAAGTTGTTTGTCTGGATATCATATAATGATACTGTGCAATCCCACGATGAAACCAGCAGAAATTGTGATGAGTTCGGTCCAAATTTTACAGAAGAAATTCCGTCATCCGGAGGGGATTTTAATTTAAATTCAGTCCTTGTTTCTCCAGTCATCTAAAAAATATTTCAAAAGCTGTTTTAGACCTGACTCAACATCATACTATACTAATATTATAAATGTAAAGGTTTGTGTATTTGTTTGTTTGAAGTTCAATCACGCATAAAACTATTGGTCGGATCGGGCTGAAATTTGGCATGATGATAGCTCACATCCCGATTAACATATAAATATATTCTTGTCTCAAAGAACCTTTCGGGCTCCGCCCCAGTGGCTCCCTGGAGTTTCTTATGAACCTTATTAGTATTCATATTTTCTCTCAGCGCAATTTTTCAGTAGCCTAATTAGTAATGAATACCAATTTTTGGGGGAGGATTTAGGGGTCCCGGATTCAATCCCCGCCAAGTCACCAATGGATTTTATCTAAAAGACAATGCCGCAACCCCTTGGTCTAGCCTGAAGTAATGTGAAAAACAATCCCAGGCTCGAGCTTAGCGTCCTAGGACAAAAAAAGTATATTCATATTTAAAAGGAATTAAATTATTTAGTCAGCTGATTCAACTAAACCAGTTGATTCTGTGATATTGAATGACATTAAAAGTTAAAAGATTTACCTACTGGGTGCAGCACTATTATTTTATTTATTGTTGTTGTTATGTTATGACGACAGCTAATTTGAACTAAGCAGCAACAAAAAGCTGTGATACACAGAAATATTTTACTTTTTTTAATTGTTTAGGTGCAGTGGTAGAACATTATGGCTATGGTAGATGTGTTAAACGCAAAGCATGAGCATAATTAATTGCAATAAGCATTTTATACTTGAATACGCCAACCCCGTACGAAAGATAGGTACTCTGCTAGTTTCTTATAAGACTCTCACTTCCAGTTAACTTATCAGCAAAGAGACAGGATGAGTAAGCCTATTTATTTAGTATACTGAAGTAAAATGTAGTCTACGAGGCCCCCAGCAGCTCTCACCAGTGAGGCCTCTCTATATTCTGATTCTCCGGAAGGCTGGAACATAAGGGTAGAAATACACGATGTATTGCTTCAACTCGATGAATTGGCCTTTTGTTTTCAACATTCTGATCGACAAAAAGACTTGGGAGATTAGCTAATATAATAATAAGTCCATTATATTTTTTAATTTAGCTTATATTAGGCCTATTAGGGGTCTTAGGTCGGCGCCAGACATTTTTCATTTCTTTCAGAAGGCCTAAACAATCTTAAACTTCAGGGATCAGATCAAAATCGGGTAGTTTCAGAAATAATTGATTAGGTAAAAATATATTAGCCTTCAGTAATTGATAGGTACTATGATCGGTTTATACAAAATCTGGAATCGCGGCCAAATTGTAAGGGTCATCTGCGGTCGCAGTAAAATTATGGGCATCTGTCGCGGTTGCGAAGGGATTGTGAGCGTTCGTTTTGCATAGCTACGTTCACGGCAAACTAGTGAACATCATGGGTGAGAAGGAGACATCATCTCCGTCTCCTCCAAACAGGGTGGAATCGTGAACATCTCCTATTGCTGCAAAGAAATAGTTAGCATCTTGCGCGAGCGCAGAGACGTCATCATCGTCGCCTCCGATCACGGTGAAATCATGAATGTCTCCTAAGGCCGCGGAGCTTTTTGCCTCTTGCGCGAGCGCGGAGACATTGTCTTCATCCCCTCCAAAGGGGACGGAGTCATGAAAGTGTTCTGTGGCCCCAGAGAATATCTTGAGCGAACGCGGAGACATCATCTTCGTCTCCTCCGATCACGGCGAAATAATGAAAGTGTTCTATGGCCGCGGAGAAATGCGCGAGTGCGTTACATCATTTTCGTTTCCGTTGATCATGATGAGTTTTAAGGGACATAATCTTCGACTCCTCCGCGGTCACGATAAAATCCTGGACACATTGAATTAACAACCTTGTTTAGTACTGGAGTGTTATAGAATCGTTTGATGGCTTAGTGAAAGTAAGTACTGTACTTACCTCCAGTTAATAAAGTATGGTACGGTTAACCTCCAGTTTGGTTAAGTTATTGAAAAGAGATAGTTTGAAACAGATTCTCAAATTTATAGGCAATTTCAGTCGTGTCTTGTCACAACATCGTTAATTCTTCTCTTTCAATCTTGGGATTTGCATTAGGTAGCCTGTGGGTAGACTTCCGTATCTGTTGTTAAAAACAACCTATACCGGTAAGCCTGATAAGAACTGTTCATTGGAATCACACAAAATTTGAGTTTAAACTGTGATTGGCTAAGTAAAAAAGCTTAATTTTATACCTTCAGTTAGGCTATGAGTCTTATAATGAAAGTGTTCCTATAAAGAACTTAAAGGATCTTCTCCTAGCAAACCCATTTTATTCAATTGATGGATTTTTTTAAAACTCGACAACACTGTCGCTAGAATAAGCATCCACCGCCAATGCACAGTCAGTATATTTTAAATATATGTTTATTTATTTGTAAAATAGTAGTTTTGTAAGGATTTTGACGCTATCTATCCGGCCCAGGCTGGTCAACGATGAAGAGGAGGTATAGGTATTTCAGGTATAGACTTCCCAGTCCAAACATTTAGGCCTAAGGGTCAACTGAATAGTCCAAACTTACTTCAGTAAGATAATCTTAACTTAAATGTGCGTTTTTTAAAGTCAAACATGTACTGGGTTTTAAAAGAGGAATAGGCCTACATGATGATAATCTTAAATGAAAATACATTACCTTTATAATCTCGACCTCACAGCATGTAATTAGACGCACAATAGGTCTAGAATAGGCTTAATTTTTCAAAAGTTTTGAATGAAGAGCTGACAGTTAACGAATGTGAGAAAATTTGTCTATTTATATACCGGTATCTACATAAATATTGTATCAAGTAACAGTAAATTAGGACTAAGTCTAATCTGAAAATTCAACTTAAAAGAATTTTAGATGTTTCTTCTTGTTTGAACGTAAACAAACGATGGAATCAAGACAAGTAGACAAGACAATACAAAATGGAATAAAAGACGGTTCGACCATCATTCCACATTCCACCATTCCTTTTCCTTGAGCGATTTTGAATTGAACGAACATTGAATGCAGTGTTCCCAGATTGGCCGTAGTCAAATATCGTACACGCGGTCCTAAATTATCGTATTTCACGAAAAATTATCGTACAATTTTAAATAACAATCGTAACTGGCTTGAGTATTGAAATACCTAATAGACTTATATATTTTTTTATTATAAATCTCAAAATCGCCATAAAACCATATTATTTTTAGTTTTGCACGTTGTAATCATAGTAGGTAACTGATATTATGTGAATATTTCTCAACCTCAACATAAACACTACACCAGTATTTTCCTTCCACCATGCACTCACGGCCACCTTTAACTACAGGCCGCGGCCTGGTAGAATTGGCATCTCCACAAGTGGTATGTTGTTCAGTGACAGACGTCCCATAAGATAACATGGCAGACAGGTGATATCAGCTCATTAATTCACACTTTATTGATTTCAATTTAAATTTATAAACATAAATTTATTAAAATATTGAAAAAAAGACATACAGAATTGAAAACCGAAACAATATGAATTAAAAATCTATTATGTACATTTTAAGCGGAGTCAATATTGTCATAGTCCAGTAACCAATATTTCGTTAATACACAAATACCATTAGCTGCTTCACTTCCAAACAAAACAGCTGTTACAACACCTCTTGTGATGTTGCCACTTTGAAGGCCGAGGCCTGGAGTTAAAGGCGGCCGTGCGTGCACCCGTGCACCATCGATCTCTAAAATAGAGATCGATGGCGTGCACTACTACACCAATAATTCGCCAAATGGGCGAGATTATGTACGGAAGGTCTGTTCTTATGGTAACAGACTTTCTCGTGGTGTAGGAGAAGCAGAAGAAGCGAAGCAGAAGCATTCAAGCAGTTTAGAAGCACATTTCATGGAAATGGTTTCGTTTTAATTTTATTCATACTAACAGTTAACTTATAGTTTTCATAAAATTGATTTTTTATGTATTGATTTTTATATCCCATCTCTAATAAATACTGAGTTTTGATTTAAAACAGCAAAAATGTTTCCAAATTTTTGGGTATAACCTCCCAAACCAATTTTGTAAAAGAGTACTATTCAATTGCCCAAATTATCGTACAAATAGCATTATCGTACGGTGACGTATCGTACATCGTACGGGAGGCTAAATTATCGTACAAAACGATAATTATCGTACGTCTGAGAACACTGATTGAATGAAGGAAAATTAAACCAACCAAACCGAATCCAATCCAAAAGTAACCAACTGTCACTCGGGTCACTCCACTCTGGTTGTCTCGTCTGTTACGCAGCCTGGCTGGAGCCTGGAGCCTATGGAGCCGTTGGCGTTGGCGCCTTCCTATCAGGCTTCTGCAGTTGTCCAGATTTTCAATTTAGTTTTTTTACCAACTTTCAAAGTTGAGGATTTTTTTCTGTTTAACGGGATTTTTACAACGGCGCTAAATGGCCACCAACTGTAAAATCATCTCTGAGAAAAAATTAAGAAAAAATATCAGAACGCAAAAACTAGGCTTCCTCTCTGAGAAAAAAGTCTAAATTCTGAGTTTAAAATCAGAATATAACTAGTGGGCGTTCCCCTCGGAGATTAAAGTCAGAGTTTAACAAAGTGGGCGTTCCTCTCTGTGAAAAAAGATAGAATTCTGAGATTAAAGTCAGAATTGAACTTGTGGGCGTTCCCACGGCCACCTTTAACTCCAGGCCGCAGCTTGGTAGGATTGGCAACGTTGCAAGTAGTGTTGTCTAGTGCCAGAGCCAGATGTCCTGCACGGCCTGGTAGAATTGGCAACATCGCATGTAGGGTTGTTTAGTGTCAGAAGTCCCATAAGATAATATGGCAGACAGCTGACATCAGCTCATTAATTTGCGCTATATTTATTTAAATTTATGAACATAAATTCATTAAAATATTGAAAATAGAACATACGGAATTGAAAACTTAAACAATATGAATTGAAAATTTATGTATGTACATTTAACGTGGAGTCAATAATTTCATAGTGCATTAAGCACAGTTTTTATTTCAGCTCCGGTTTTTCAATACAGACAAACGCTTGATATATATGTCGTTAGCACGATAACCCGAGCAAAAATGATCCGATTTTGATAAAATTTGGTACAAACGTGTAAACTACATTTATTCGAACGAGTTCGCGAACCAGCATGATCGGACAATCTATTATTAAAGAACAGCTCTCACTGTATTTTGAAGCAAATAATTTGTTCTCAGCTGCCCAGTTTGGTTTCAGGCCTCACCGCAGTACTACTGATGCTGTTGACAAGTTAATAAAAGCTGCTTTTCAGTCTTTTGAGGATGGGGGCTTTGCTGGGGCCATCTCTTTGTGACCTCAGCAAGGCCTTTGACATGGTTGATCATGACACCCTCCTGGGAAAGTTAAATTTCTATGGGGTTAAGGGGAATATTTTTGAACTGTTTAAATCATGAAATGAAATGATTTATTGTCGTTAAAACTATGTACAAAGTTCATGACAATCGTCAAAATAAAAACAAAACAATCAAGATGGCTCAGGCAACTAAAATATCTAAAACTCTAAACCAAAGTACTCTTCATGTTTATACAGGCAAGCCTGGGTTAGAGTAGTTTTTAAGACATGTTTGAATTTTAAAACACACAGGTTTTTGATGGATGCAGGCAAGAAATTGTACATTTTAACACCTTGGTACTCAAAACTATTTTGAGTGGCTGTATACTTATGCCTTAGTGTAGACAGATTATCTTTTGATCTAGTACAGTAGTTGTGCACATCAGATATCTTTTCAAAGTGAGAAATGTTTTCTTTTACATATAACAAACTTGCCAAAACATACAAAGATGGAAATGTGAGAATGTTAAGACCCACAAAAAGGGGCTTACAATGTGTTCTTCTGACCAAAAGAGGTTTCTTCTTCTACCTGACTGGGCGTGGGCAGCTGGTTTGTATAAATGGTAGACAATCCATTGTACAGCAATTGACCCATGGTGTACCTCAGGGCTCAATTCTTGGTCCCTTACTTTTCAATGTCATGTTAAATGATCTCGCTTGGTGTTTGAGGCAAGGTGTCATCTAGCTGTTACGCAGATGATACTACTCTCCTTGAATCTAGCAATGAACTGGGAGATCTTGAGGAAGCCATGAAACGATCTCTTGAGGGGCATCGGCCTGGTTACGAGCAAATCACTTTTTTCTAAATGAGACAAAAACTAAGTCAATAATCTTTAGCCTAAGAAACTTAGAACATAGTGTGAAATCTGTCAAACTTCTAGGCTTACATATTGACAATAAAGTAAACTGGAATGACCAGATTAGCCATGTTTGTGCTAGACTTTCCAGAGCTCTGTGTCTACTCAGAAGGTTGAGATATTTTGTACCAAAGGACTGGCTGAAAACTGCTTATATTGCTTTCTTTCAGAGTATATTATTGTATGGCCTAAGGCTCTGGGCTGAGGTGCCGCCTCTGGAGTCAAGAGAGTTCTGCGCTATCAAAAGAAAGCAATTAGAGTGGTAGTTGGTGCTGACTACTCGGATCATTGTAAACCCATATTTGTAGCTGAGAGCTTAATGGCGGTTTGTAACCTTCATATTTTTCAGTGTTTGATCAAAATCAAGAAGGAATGGGACTCTCTTGAGGCGACATCCAACCCTAATAATACACGCAGGAAAAATGATCTCAATATTTACCACATGTTAGGTTAAAGTAAAGTTCAGATGTCGAATGATATTCTTAGTTATAAGTTTTTTAATAGACTTCCTTTTGTAGTTTGGAACCTGCCAGACCCAAAATTCAGAAAAGGGGTTGAAGGGGCTTCTTTTGGCAAACCCTTTGTACAAACATAAAGAATTTTTTGATCTGAAAGAGGAATATGTAAGTAGTTTTTTAACCGAGTGTTGTGTCCTGTTTTATTTTTCTCTGCATGGAGAGTTTCAGGAATTTAATTTATTTCATATTGGTAAGAAACCTTGTACAGTATACTATTCTCTTATTTTAGTTTTTATTTTAGCTGTAGTTGTACTGACGTTTTTCCAGTAATGTAACCCTATTTTGTGGAAATAAAAATTTTTGATTCTTGGACAATGGGAACGATGGTTTATGGGGGTTTTATCACGGTTTGATGGGGGTAAAATGGGGGTTTTCCATTTTTGACCTTTACACATAACATAACATAAACTAAACATAACATTTTGCAATTCTTTTCAAACCATTTTGTAGAGTTAAAAAACAAATAATTTAGTATATTGAAGCGTTGTTATACACCTATAATAGTTACGGAGAAAATTACAAAAAAATGTAAATATAAAATCCCTAGTATGTAATTCTTATTAAATTTGGAAATACATTTATTTCATACCTTTTCAATCAATTTTGAGACTGGTGACGGGCGATGGCAGTAAAATCTCACATTTGCAATACCTCAGAGACAAGAATCAAGAATATTTATTTGCCATTAAATAACAGAACGTTACAATAGGCATCGTCAGTGCAAAAATACATCACAGTCAGTCTATAATCATCTATAATACAATCAGTCTTAGCGTCTAAAAATTCATCTACAGAGATCGATTTCATCAATGCTACTAAATTTGAATAAAAACCTAATTGGTTTGGTTCCTTCTTTTAATTTAGTACGGACTTGAATGATGTACGTAATGATATACAAACCAATTAAAATCATTCGTTTTATTTTTCATATATATTACTATTTTAATATATTTATTGACCCCATTTCTATATTTATACGTTGAAATCTCGCTTGTGATGTGAGTATGAGACTGAGAACGAGCGACCTAACCAACTTAACTCACTACTACTACTACACTACAACACTACAACTTCGTTATTTATTTTGTTTAGTGGTGATGTCCTTCATAAAATACGAAATTAGGTTAATTTCTAAATTTGTGCTTATTGTTTTTAAGAAAAGGTGAAATTCTATAATTTATTACGAATTATACAATGTGAGACGCATTTATGTTCCCATCAACACACACCAAAGTCATTACCAACAACAACAGTGTTTGGATCCGAGTTAGGTTTATGGAAAGCTGAAAGGTATTATAATAATTTGGATAAATTTACTACTTATAGTTTTGATAACATTTTTTATGTGTTGGAGATACTATACGAATAATTAGGTGTACATATTACTTAAAACTTGTGGAGTTTGGCAATTTTAATCTAAATGTAAAGGTGTAGCCTAATGGCCTAATTTTTAAATAACAATTATGTAGGGTAGGCAGTTACACAGCTTAGGCCTGGTTATTTATGTCTTCTTAACTTTATGTTGTTTAATATAATCCTAACTAATGAGATGAACATATTTTTCATGTTTAACTAAGTTACCCTATCATATTTATATTAACTTAAGTACGGTAGCCTACCTATTTCACTTTTAAGTTTAATTAGGGGTAACAATTCCATATCTGTTGGCACAAACAACCGAATGAGCAATATTGATTATTCGATTGTATAATTCGATACATCCTTTGGTTAGTTAGGTTAGGTTAACCTTACCTACTAACCAAATGATATATCGAATAATCGATATATCGATCGATATTTTCATTCGGGTGTTTGTGCCAACAGGTATGGAAGTGTACCCTTAATTAGCACATATTAATCTAGCCAGTCTAGTAAGGGTTTAACCGGGTAGACTTTCATAAGTTAAGTGGTGCTGCCAAAAACAACCGAATGAATATATCGATCGATATATCGAATAATCTGTACGATATTTTCATTCGGTTGTTTTTGGCCCCACTTATGAAAGTCTACCCGTTAAGGCGGCACTTTAGTTTACGTCCTACATTTACTCACATACTGCCGTTTGGTTAAGGTTAGGTTTGGTTTAGAACAGTTTCATTTTATAATAAGCTGGTACAGTAGTTACATAATGTATAATGTATAATAGTAAATTGTGTCACATAGGCTATTCAATGAATACCTAAGCCAACAAAATATAAGACATAATCTGAGGTTCAATGAAATATAAAAATACAATAATGTGCAACCTCCGTGTACCATATTAAAACTATTTAAAGACAGGCATTTAAGTACCGGTACTGTATGATTGAAGTACCTATGCCACTGTTAAGGAACTGTGACAATCTTGTTTGATATAGCCTAAACTTAGTTTATCAATATTTTCATAATTTTGGGATCAAGGCCTACAAATTAGGCTAGGTATCCAATTTGCTAAACGTGTTTCCTAGTTTAGCTTTTTCTAATACCTACTAAGTACGATGTAACATACTTTTTAATAGACTAAGCATGACTTTTTTCTATTTTAGGTTACACAACCAAGGCAAACTGTAACTTACGATGTGTTGCAATGGCTTCCTCTAGTTCAAGATCTGTTAAAGTTACTGATCTCAACCCTCATCTGTTGTGTGTTTTATGTGGGGGCTATTATGTTGACGCCACCACCATCATTGAATGTTTACATTCCTGTAAGTAGAGCGTGGTATTTAGCTGAATTCAGAATAGATTAAAATCCCAAATTATCATACCGAATTAAGAATTTGAACTAGGCCTAGATAAAATAAAATTAAAAGAAATTGATTTATTTAGCCTATGTCCAACGGTTCCACCATTTTAAGTAGAAAAGTTAATACAATAGTGCCGAAAAAAAAAAAAAAAAATACTCTTGAATAGGGCCTACTATTGGGCCTACTATCTCCAACCTACGGCCCGTGGACCACCTGCGGCCCGCAAACAGATTTTATCTGGCCCGCGAAGGCCTACTGGGAAATAATTACTTTTTTTACAACCTTTCAGTGCCGCCGCGTCTCGCTCCGCAATGCACCATTGTCGTAGCTTGAGTGCGGAGCGTCTCATAGCGAGATTGCGTGAGAAATACCGGCGTCTCGGAGCGAGACGCTCAGAAAATCACTCCATACAGTATCACATTTCAATAAAGCTGGCTGCAAATCACACCAAATGTGACAGAAGGAGGTTGGCGACAACTATTTTGCTCTTTCACTGTAGAATGGAGCTGAGAAATGTGGTCATCCAATCAAAAACCATTACGCAATAGTATAAGGCTTTGCACAGCTGGTTCGTGTGTTGTTGTTTTGACTGTTTACGTTCTAGCGAAACGGCACACGGAAGATTTCTCAGGTGCCGTTTGACGTCACTAACTGCTGACATCACTTTGAGGGAACACCAATACCGCAACGATACGGTATTGAGCCATCGGCCTCAGTGGTGTAATGGATAGCGTTGCGGGCTGATAGTCCGAAAGTACCGGGTTCAAATCCCGCCGGCGGCATCAACTTTTTATCAGCAATTTTTTTCACATCAGCAAGTTTGGTTGGTTTGGTTAGGTTATGACAGTTATTTTATAATTGAAAAATTATAAAATTGAATTTTAGGCATTTATAATTTTATTTTATTAACAAAACAATTTTTTTAAATTAGTAAACCTTTATTTGATTTTTCCATTATCAGCACGTTTGGTTAGGTTATGACGGTTTAATTTACCGTAATAATAGAAAATTATAAAATTGTCTTTTTCTTCAGACGCAGCAGTTAGTGACGTCAGCAGTTAGTGACGTCAAACGGCACCTGAGAAATCTTCCGTGTGCCCCACTGTACGTTCTAGTATTTGTTTGTTTACGAATTGTTTCGTTATAGAATTGCAGGTTATAGTCATGAATCGTTGAAAAATACATTTTAAACCTTTAGAAAGTTATAATACCACAGCTTATCCGTGCATTTGGTGATAGTTTGTGGCTAATCACATAAAGTGTACCGGTAACCGGACTTGGTAAGTCTGGCCTATAGGTGCATGATTTTATTTTGACCGTTTGTATATTTTGTGCATGGCTTATAATAGTAGGCCTAATCTAATAGTAATTCGAATTTTAAACATGATAATAACAACATAAATACAGTCAATGTTAAATGATATAGTTTTGTCTGTAACAACACAAGTCTTAGAGCATGATTTAGGTTATGTGCTGGGTAGGGCCTAGAAATGTTTGAGATCTCTTTGTAGTAAATGTTACATATTGTTTTGGACATATACAATAAATACATTTGTTATACATGATTTCTCTTAAGTTTTTAATATTCTGAATGCAAAATTTAATGTAGCCTAAATGAATAATTTTAAATTGTGTTCAAACTATGAAAATGAGAATAAACTGCACAATATTTCTGTCTTGTCCATGAAAATGTTGCATTTTAACTCATGAAACCCCAACTAAAATTAGTATTTTACAATGCGCGATCTAATAATCTAAAAAGCAAAACAAATTTAGGCCAAAAATGTTAATAAATTAATAATTTATAACGATTTTCCTGAATTCCCACATTTATGTAGAAAATTGTTCGGCATTCCTAGAAGCAACGCCACATGTAGGCCTGGCAAACCTCAAATAAAATTGTTTCACCCGCTCAAGGCACTCAAAGGGTTAATTGGTATAAATCAATTATCTATACCGAAACCTACGCAAACGGACACTACAATAAACAGCAAGTCTATCCATCCGACAATCCACAAGACCGCAGCCTTTAGATCCATGCTGTACCGAGCCTATAAGATTCTACTCAAGTTAGTGATAGGATCGCTCAAGTTAGTGGATTTAGAACCAAAACAATAAAGGACATCACAAGAAAGACGAGGAGAAAAATCAATCAGAATACACTACACAGAAGAACAACAGAACAACATTAGAAGAGATGAAAGAGGAAAAGACCAGATATGTCACTTTAGCTACACGAGGACTACAACACAAAGGACTGCTAACAGATTCAAGAAATACAGAGTTTCAATAGCCTACAGGACTAAGAACACCATGAGTAAAATACTGCATCCAAAAATAGAAGATTGTAACAAATTCGACGCTTCAGGCATCTATAAAATCAATTGTAACGATTGTGATAGCTTCTACATTGGACGGACTGTGAACTTCGTTAACCGCTTCAAAAACCACACATCTGCGTGGAGGAACAACAAACCCGAAAGATCAAATGTCGCTCAACACCTGTTACAAAATGGCCACTCATTAGGAAAAATGGAGGATAGTCTATGTATTTTAAAGAAATGTAAGAAAGGATATGTAATAAATGTTTGGGAAAAATTGTATATTTATAAGGAAAAATTTAAAAATAGAAATAAGTTGATTAATGAACAAGTAAATTTCTATTCCAGTTGTACTTATAAAAATGTATTGGCCGGTACTTCCGGTAGCCAATAGGGTATAAGTAGGGACACCATTCAAGATTCTTGTCATTCGCCTATTCGAAATCCATCACCACTTACCACCTTTTTTTGTATATTTCCGTCTTGTTAGTAACAGTATAAGCGTAAATATATGTTTTAAGTGTTTAAGAAGTCACTTTTATTTACTTTCCGTAAATTTAATAACACGTACAATGCTGATCAAGAAGTTATTTATTTAAATAAGAAAGTCACGTCAAGTAAGAAAATTACAATCAAAACTCGGGAAATGGTGATTATGTTGCTCTGATCACTGGGATGATCCCGGACAGTGGTGCAATCATGGGACATGATTACAACATCCCTATTTAAAGTTCTGATTGTTGCTCACAGATATCACTACAATAGCTTTCCCAATGTTACTTGTACCTTGATGAGACTTTGCGAGACAATGATGATGTCTCTGCGACTGTGTTAATGTGATGTTAATGCGACTGTGTGGAAGATGTTAATGTCAATACCGCAGTCACCTGCACTATCACTGTCTGCCTGCAGATATCTAATGTTGAGTGACCAAGAAGTAAAGGTCGTCAGCACGGAATCTCCTAAGTAAAAACTCATCCTTCTACTCCAATATATTGTAACTGAAGTAAAAGTTAATTTAATTAAAGTTGTCAAAAAAAAAACAAAAAAAAACAGAAAATCAATAGGCCTGGCCTATTTTTTAGTACCTACTACTAGCATTACCCAGTGCATGTTGCTGCGCTTAACAGCTATTATTTTAAATGGTAATGTGTTGTTTACAATAAATAATAAAAAATATACCAAGAACAAAAATAGAATATTTTATTTTACCTAAACATCATTGGATAAAAAATGTAAGCGCTTGATAAGCCCTGTACAAACGGGTTGTGAAATGATTGTTTGGAAGACTAAAGACAAAGTTGCAAGTGTCTAGAGAGCATTATCTACTGCAGTTTCAACACCTAGAACCATCAGTCCACCCAGCTTAGGTATTGTAGTTTGCTTCAGTCAATCACATTCGGCTCAAAACAGATCCAAACAAGGAGTCTAGATGAAAATTATAATTTGCTTTGACCAAGGCGTTCTTTAAAAATCTCTTGTTATTTTTGTTGTTGTCTACGTCAATGGCATTTTTACTTGGAGGTGAACTTTTACTTTGTATTATCCTGTACAGTGTACTCAAACTCTTAGAGCAAGCGGCAAAAACCCATATGTTTTGTGGATAAACCCGTCTCTCCTGCACCAAAATCTGAGACGCTAACCACTCAACACACTCAGTTAATGCATAGATTAAAGTGGATATATTTTACTTATGTTCAGCTTACTTGTATGGCAGTTTGCCTAGTCGTTGATCTATGTCTGTGAGGTGACAGTGGAACCAGAGCTAAGTTTAGCTACGTACTATTTGTATGTAAGCCATTAATACAAGAACTGGCCACATTTAGCCCAAGTTTTATTTTGTTTAGACTATATCTCTTGTTTCAGTTTGCAAAAGTTGCATTGTACGATACTTGGAGACAAATAAGTACTGCCCGATTTGTGATGTTCAAGTTCATAAATCAAAACCTCTGTTGAACATTCGCTCGGATCGTAAACTACAAGCGATTGTCTACAAATTGGTACCGGGCCTCTTGCAAAGTAAGTAATACGCTAGTTTTTATAAAAGCTTTTCATAAAATAAAACAAAAGAGTATGGCACAAATCGTAAAATATGCTTCAAAGTTAGAAAGATAACAGTCTTACACTGGTACACTCAAAAGTAACCAACATAAAACACGTCAATACAGGCGGCAAAGTCAAATTCAAAGTAAATGGTACAATTATTCATGGAAAAAGTAAGTCGCTCAAATAAATCAATTTTAGTAATATATTTTGTTTTTAGATTGTTAAACCTTCTGATTTTCTTTTCCTAGGAGAATTGAACTGCCGGAAAGAGTTTTATAAGAACCAACTAGATTCGAAGTTGAGCAGCAGTGAAAATGTGGCCGCAGCGTTGGAGGACAGCCCTGTATGTTCCGAGGGGGAGACATTCTTGTTGGGTGTCCAATATGTCGACGCATCTGCTGAGGTCACTATAATACTTCCTGTATGATAAGTGTACACATGTATATAGAAGATCATTGAAGGAAGATAAGTTGGTAGTGATCTGGGAATCTGGGATGGATAAAAAACTTATGCCAGAAACTTTTTTGTAAAGAGGGATCTTTCTGTTGGCTCACCTGAGAAAATTAGAGTCCATGGGCTAAAAGACACACAGTAAAAACCACAAAACATACTGGTAACACTGATACAGTCGAAACTTGACGAAAAAGTAAAACTGATAGGTGTTGCAAAACTGTCATATCACGCTGAGTTTGCGATTTTTAAAAACATCGCCATCGCCACACTCATTGACAAATCAATCAGGCAATCTCCATCATCAATGTTAACTGATAGCCTGTTAAGAGTTCTTTGGCCTGAATTTGGTTAGTCCATTGACCCTGTGCCAGCGAAAAAACATTAAAACCGATCATATTCACCGGTTTCTTGGGTCTAAAAACATTTCATGGGTTCCTCTAACCTTTAACCAATTTAAACCAGGATATTTGGTTGTGTTGTTGCTCTATTACATCTTCATACCCAACTAGAAAGGGTGAAGCTCGAGTTTATTCAATGCATATATACTGCAGGATGAGTCTACCACAAGTACTGAGTAAGGACCAATAGGAGTTCTTTCATGAGGCCTTGCAGTTTATTTGGGGCAGAACAGTTTTGTAACTGATACATTATGTTTTTTTTAAATAATTAGTTTCAGATTTGATGTTTTGGATGCAATAGCAATGAGAACCTATATTTATGTTACAGTCACATAACAAGAGATACCTGAGGTGTCCTGCGGCCATCAATGTCAGTATTCTACATAAGCTGATGAGAGCCAAGTTTGACCTGAAAGATGCGCAGAGAGTGGAGTTCCTATATGAGGGAGACCTGCTGCCCGACCACATGTCTCTCGTGGACTTGGCCTACATGTATCACTGGAAAAGGGTAAGTTAGACGTAACTGATGTTCGGATAGTCGTTCATTGACAGGAACTGCTTTTGATTACCTCCAGCAATTTTAGCAAAATCCGTCAGCATACAGGGCTGTTAACATTCTGGAAAGTCAGGGGTAGTCATGGAAAAAAATTCTGGTCATTGAAAGTCATGGAAATAGGCAAAAAGTCATGGAAATCCCCAATGATGGATGGTTTTGGAGGGGACCTTTCAATTCTCTAGTTGGCCGTAACCCCCGACTATTGTAGCATTTTTCAGGATTTTTCACAAATTTATGATAGTTTAATTTATTATATGTTGTATTAGTTTATCAGTTTTGAGTTTGTATTAGTTCATTGTTGTAGGCCTACCTATATTGCACTCCATTGTTATCTGTTAATACATATTTCAGTATTTTCTGTGAAATAACTTTTGTAGGCAGTATTATTTGTGTGTGTATGTTAAACTACAATTTTCAAGTAAAGTTTGTGAGTCATGGAAATCAATGGTAAATGGTCATGGAAATTAATGACACATTTTCTGTGGACACACTGAACATATCTTGATATCTTGTGGTGACACTGGTGATTGTCTTCCATGATTGCAGAACATCCGTTAGTAGCGGTCACTCTTCGAACTTGGCAAAAGTGTCAATATCGATTTTTCATATATTTTTTTCCCTTTTGGTTAACTGACGTTTCGGATGATTGGGCTTAGTATAATCAAAATTCTACTATACTGTATTTACATTTATGCATTGAAGAGTGGTGGTTGGCTGAAGCCCGCAATGTCTTTCCTCTCCTGGTTCAAGTCAAAGACATTTTCACCTGACACCTCTTGTATTAAATATAAAGCTATGTTATGTCCTTTGTCAACCAAACTGCATAGAAGAGTCATCATGAGGTAATCCATCATCCAAAAAAACAATGAGATTTGTAATTACAAATATTTGGTGTGTTAAAACCTTACACGAATCCTATCTTAATGTGACTTGCATAAAAATCGATAGAGAGTAAAAAATTATCAAAATTTTTATATTGTAAAATTAATTCCCAAGAAATTGTCTTTTTACCAGGCCTACTTGGGCTGATGAGACAACAGCTTCTCATCAATTTTTCTTCTGATCATAAACTGTCAATTAATTGTTTATAGAGCAGGTTATAACCCTCAATAAAAGCTGTATACTCCTTCTTCTGCCATGTATATACTAAGAATTAGAATTGATTGGTATTAGTGATGTGTCGATACCAAAATTTATCCATTTTCGATACCGATACAATTTTTTTTTAGTTTTACAACATTTTCTAGATGGATTGGTTATACCCCTACCTTAATATGGTTCCATAAAGTTTTTTTGAGGTAATAGGGTGTTTTTCAAGTAAAGAAAAATTGAATTCAGCAAAGACAAATTCTAACCTAGCCAATTTAAGTTTAAACTTAAACCCATCTAAACACATCGAACAACTACCATATCAAAGGTAAATGAAGATCTAAAAAAAAAATAAAAAAATAACTAGAGAATAAATAATAGCTAAAGGTGTGGCAGCTTGATATTTTTGGTTAAGCCAAACTCGAGGTAATATCGTAATCATCTCTTGCAGTCGTGGAGACATCATCGTTGTCTTCAGGGATCACTGCAAAATCCTGAATATCTTCCTCAGTCATTGAAACATCATCACAGTCTTTCGTGGTCGTGACAAAATCCTGAATTTCGCTCTGTGGTAACTGAAACACCATCATCGTCTTCCTAGACATCAAGATCATCTTCTGCGATCGCGGCAACATTCATTTTTACATTCAATTCATTAACATTTTTCAGTCTTGTGGACATTTTCATAACACCTTAAACACCGAGGCCTATACACAGAGGAGTGTGACATCTAAAAATTTAAAGACAATCAATAAACATTGAGTATCCCTACATATTTGATTTAGATGTTGGAAAAATATAAAGAAATCTATAACCAATATTGATTTTGAAAGAATGTGGTATTGTTTCTATTATATTTTTTTGTTTAATGGGCAATTTCTTGAACACGATTCCTTGATAAAAAATATTTGTATTTATTCCTTTAATAGTGGAGTTTTTTTGAAATCTTGATCTCATCTGGCTCTTTTTTGTTTCCAGAAAGATCCGATTGAGTTGGAATACAGGTTCCTCGAGTGTCAACAGAAGAGGATAAAACTGTCACATCACGATGACAATGCAGGTGTTGAAGAAAAATTAAACGTAGAGCATGAGGCAGACCGAGAGGTTCAGCTGCAGATCAGCGAGACTGGAGTGATGAGTGCGCAGAGTGTGGACAGCGTAGAGGTGACGTCAGTGAAGGATATCAACCTAGAGACCATGGAACTGGTCAAGTCATTGGGCAACCAAGTCACACTGACCTTCGACAGTTCACCAGCCAACAGCAAAGTCAAGATTAAGCATGAAATACCAACCAACAACAACACTATCACCATGGAAAGTGTTAGCGAAGCTCCCAAAGATGTAAATTGCGTTAAAGATGTGAAAGAGGAAGCTAGCGAAAGTAAAGAGATTATTGTGAAAAAAGAGTGTCCGGTAAAAGAGAACACGAAAGACTCGATTAATGTAAATAATAATGAACCAGAGAAAAACAAAAGCCATGCGATCAATTCATCTCTCTCAATCACGGTGATTCCTGTGGGGAATAGGCCTACTGCCAGTACTCCTGTATATCGTCAAAAAGTTTATCCTGGTGCCGTGAAAGACAATTCCAATCAGTCAAAGCAGTTCAGAGTGAAAGAAACACCAAATGATACTAAGCGACCGGAAGTGACAATTAAACCGACTTCCGAAAAACCGGAATTCCCAAAATCAGGCAATGCAGCTCGTTACAAGACATTGAAAACCCCGATCAAACCGTGGAATCCCACTATCCCAAGGGCGACTATTATGGCCATGAAGCAAGCTCAGGCGGCGAGTCAAGAAAAAGATCCCAGTAAACCTTCACCAAAACCTCCTAAATTCTTTAAGATGCGCAATGTGCCTCGGTTCCTAGGCAACCCAGCGTCAGGAGTGAAGCCGATGTATCAGGTGTTACCGGGCTCTGAACTCCCGACTTCTCAGCCGAGCTTATCACAGACTTCAAAATCTACGCCCTCCTCTGAGCTGACAGTGATGAAGATCGATCCAAAAACTCTAAACCCCATCTCTGTACCTCATCCTAAATCATCAAAATTGAACTCATCCTCCAGTAAACCACCTGTTACTTTTACTCCAGCTCATAAACCATCGGAGAGAGACTCGGTCAGTGGTGTGAATCCTATTCGAAATCCAGTTAGTAAAAGTAATCTACCATCCAGAGGTCCTAGTCTGGCTCATTCACAGAGTTTCCCATCCAGTCCGTTCGGCCTCCCTTCACCTCATGTTTTATACCCGGGGTTTCCTAGACACTTCTCCCCGGTGGATGCTGCAGGCAATCAGCTGTCTGCGGACAATCAGATACTGCGGGCCATGTCAATGTTGTGCTCTCCAGGTGCAGCTTTCCACCCCTCTCTCCCCCCCTCCATCAGCATGCTCTTCAACCCCCACCACCCTCACCATCGGTCCGCACCTGACAAGTTGAACTTCAAGTACAATCCTAGCGATTTTCACAAAAATGCTACCGGTACCACAACAACACCATCAGTTCAGAGGATACCTCCTTCTGGTCCTTCGTCTAAAATTTCATCGCCTTCTCCGAATAGTAGTTTTTCCGAATCCCTCAGCTCTCCGGCTGTTGTTAAAGAAGAGAAACATCCAGCAGGAGAGAAAAGTGAAGCACCGTCTGAGGAATCTAGAAGTGGAAGTTTGGTGCCATCAAATGAGTTCAAATCTAAATCGACGCCTCCCTCGAGCAGTACAGAACAAGACAATCCCCTACCCAGAATAGGCAAGACGAGTCCTTTGCCTATAACTAATGGGTTATCTAGTATTACAAAGAATAATCTAGACAAAGAATATCTTCTGAAACTGCACAAGCAAAGTGCAAGTGCAAAACAGTGTATAACGGAACCCGCAGAACAAAGTAAAAGCGCAGATAATCAAAGAGATGATTCTAAAAAGGCAGTTGACAATAATAATAGTAGTTAAAGAATCTGTGATAGTATTAAACTTATAATGTGTGCTATTTTTACATCATGAAAAAATATAGGTTAGAATTGTATTTGTAATTTATCAAACTCATTTGCCTTAAATGTCTTTAACAAAAATTTGCTATTAACTACAGCAAATATTCTTTACAAAGTCAATAGTTTTACTGCCATAGTTCATGTTTGATCCTGTTGATTTAAAATATGTTTTTACCAAACTTTTATTTAGTTCATTTTAAACCAAAAACTGTCTAAGCAAGAAGAATATTAAGAACTTAAAAATGCTATATACAGGGTGTTCAAAAAAGATGGGGATATAATTTAAGCACTGATTCCTTGGGTCAAAATAAATAGAAAATCAAGAATAACATTTTTTTTAAATCGCTTAGTTAACCAGATATCCGCCTTTTTGTATTTTTTACATAAACATTTTTATCTTTGAATTTATTCAACCGATCTTTGTGAAACTTGGTATGTTTGTTTGTTAACGTAAAAGAGACCCATGTAAAAAAATATCTATCTTGATTCAACTAAAAGTTTCAAAATAGCGGCCTTTTTAATTTTTTAAACTTAAATTACTTGAAAATGGCTGATTTTGTGAAAATATGTCAAAAACACTTCCTAGCATTGTTAATTTCCTATCAAAGAATACTAAGATTAAAAATATTGAATAAGAAATAGCTGAAATATTACGAGTTTAAGCTGTAAAATGAGGAAAACCTGACTAGAGCCTTATTCTACCCCAATTTAGAACTAAAAATCGAAATATTTCAGCCATTTCTCAGTCGATCTGATCTTGGCATCGTTTTATAGGAAATAAAAAATGCTAAATAAAAGTGTTCTTGATATTTTTTTCATAAAATCAGCCATTTTTGAGTAATTTTAGTTTAAATAATTAAAATGACCACCATTTTGACATTTTAAGTTGAATCAAGATAACATTTTTTTCTAAGATGGGTCTCGCCTACCTTAACATAGGCTACATACCAAATTTCATAAAGATCGGTTGAAAAAATTCAAAGATTAAAATGTGTATGTAAAAAATACAAAATGGCGGATATCTGGCTAACGAAGCGGTTTTGGAAAAAATGTTTTTTATTGATTTTCTCTTAATTTTGATCCAAGGAATCAGTACGTAAATTATGTCCCCACCTTTTTTCAACATCCTATATAACAAAATTCTCTTCTTAATTAATTCTTTATTATACTTTCATGGGTTAACTTTTCACAAAGGGCATAATATGGTTTTTAAATGTCTTAAATTGTCCCTCACAGTTTAAATGTGTTGTTAACGATTTGGCAAAGGTTTTCCTAGTTAATAATTGTTTTTCTTCACAGTCTATATTTTTTCATCAACCCTTTTTTACTGAAAAGTACAAATTCTTACTTAAGTCAGAATCAAATGTAATATGAACAAATACTTTGATATAGTAATTGTTGAATTTGTATATTATAAAGAGCTTTTATATAAGGTTGAATGTTTATAATGGTTGTTGCAGGTGTATATATGTACTAACATGTAGCAATAATTTTGATCACTCAATGAAGTATTATTTCCTAAATTTACATTTTCTGTTAGGCACATTAAAATGACATTTTTCACACAAGCCTGCCTGGAAAACTCAAGGTTATAGAAAAAACTGCATAAATCTAAATGTTGCCTAAAATTTCCTCACAACTATATATTTTTGTCACAAAAGTCACAGGAGTTTATTAACTCAATAGTTATTCTACTTAGCCTAAGTTAAAAGAGTTTTAAGATGTGTTACATTTGCCTTTTAAATCAACTATTTTCTATTGTCGAATTGCCTTACATACTTAAACAGTGTTATATTTCATGTAAATACATAAGTGTTACCTGATTAGCCAAATTTAACATCGCCTTGTAAGTTTGAGAATATATTTATATTGTATATGTATATATTTTACTTGAAAATGATTTAAATCTGATATTTAAGCGGCAAAACCCATAAGCTTGACATATCGCTTGTACCCATCAATGGCAATTCAACATAAAACATAAAGATATGTATTGCATATAATATCTTGATAATTTTTGTTTTTTAACAGTCCTTAGGATTTTGGCACTATACCATTCCTCAACCCGACTCAAGTTAATTTTTTTAAAGTATTTCATAGTCTCTTACTCCAAACAAAAATGCTCGTGTTATTTCAAAAAATATGAACTAAAAGAGAAAATTGTAAAATAACATAATTTGGAAAAATTAATTGATTGTAACATGTAGAATCTGTCTTGCATTGTTTTGGTGAATGGTCCAAAAGGGGAGTATTGAACAAAGTCCAATGATTAAGTCAGTGTCATGATGTCCAAAATATAATCTTTGAGCTGTCTCACAACATCCAATAAAAACTATTCGACTGTAGCACAACGTCCAAATATCATCATGTCCAAAAGTACAGTAGCTGAAAAAAATATAAGTCTTTCTACAAGCTTTGCACGTCATGGGACTGGACGTCGTGCAACAGTGCACTTTATACTCTTAAAACCCCTTGCCAGTTACACGACGTCCAATAGCTCAGCGCTGTTGCACGATGTCCAGAGCTCCTACATTCGGAGCAAGGTTGGATTAGGCTAAGTTAGGTTAGTATGCACTACAGACGGTAAAACAGTACTCACAGGGTGCAGGCACTCTGGATGTCGTGGGATAGCGCTGATAGCTATTTGATGTCGTGCAACTGGCAGCGGCTTCAGACGTTGTGCTACTGCTACTTATTTAAGAGTGTAAAGTGTGCTGTTTCACGACGATCAATCTCATGACGTCCAGAGTTTGTAGAAAGACTATGTTTGTTGCAGTTACTGCACTTTTGGACATGGTGAGATTTGGATGTTGTGCAACAGTCAAATATGTTATATTGGACGCCGTGAAACAGCACAAAAATTGTATTTTAGACGTCATGCAATTAATCCATCTAAAATTGTGCTATTTTCTGACAAAAATTGTTCTCTAAAACCCATGTTAAGAGTGAAAATAATGTGTAACATGTTTAATGTGTTGAATATTGGGTTAATATATTGGTCCATGTTATGATTAGGTCCACTTTTCAAAATGCTCGCACACAGGTTATTGTATTCTGTTTACTCCTTATTAACATGAAAACAAAAACTCTTTAACTGTGTTCGTATTGGTAGTGTGGGTTTCTGTGGTTGGTTTAAAGGGATGTTTCTACAATACTTTTTTAACTGCATGTATTGTATTTGTATACCTCAAACTGTATTGTGGACGCCTAGCATAAAAATCCAAGGACCGTTATGTTTAAAAAGTGTAAAAAGTAAATACACATTTTGAGCTGTTAAAGAGGGAATATTTGGCTTTTCAAATACTGTGATGCTTGTACAATCTGTGACTTCGTTAATTAAATTCTTGTACCATTACAACGTATAGTGCAAACCAACACTTTGTATACACTTCAAAAACACTTGGCGTTAAAACATCCAACTTTGTAGAAAAATTTATTAAGATAAGTAGAAAGATTATATTTATTTATTGCACAGACTATACATACAGCTTTAAATATTTAATTATTATACAGCTCAAACTGTTGTTATGGTCATACTGGCCAAAAAGCTGGTCCACTTTAAAAAGTCGTGAACTACCTACCTTAATAATTCGTACCCAGTGCTCGATTTACGGAACGCGGTGGGACGGCGTTCCGGTACCCCTTTTTCAGAAAGATAAAAATATTTGGCATAAGTAGGTACTAATCACATTAAATAGGTTACACTTACGGAACCTCATATTTTACAAATCGAGCACTGTTTGTACCAATCAATATTATGTTTGTTCTTTTGTGAAAACCCCATTAATTAGTGTTATGTACTTGTTTCTTAACGATTTTGTAAACAAAACATTTATTTTATGGGTTTTGCCATACTGTCATATTTGATTCGTTTGTACATTTTTTCTTTACAAGATTTTTTATATTAATATATTTTTAATCATAAGGCACATATGTAATGTTATTGTATTAATAAGAATGTGTATAAATTAGGTTTAAGTTCATTTTGAATCATTTTTATCACATTTTCAAGTTATGATAAATTAAATTAATATATATAACGTTAATTGTTAAATTACTTAAAATATATCTTTCAATTTTTTGATAAATAATTAAGTACCGTAATGAGAGTTGAAATAACTTTATTTTTCATATCAAAGTTTATATCTATTAAAAAGGAAAAAAAAATAAATATCTTTTTTATTTTGAGCGCATATTTAAAATGTTACTCTAGTTAACTACACTATTTTTATGATCAAAATTATTTATCTTTAATGAGAAAATTGCAATGTTTATAAAGATGAGCTTGTTACCACAAATCAGAAAATATTGTTTACTATTTGTATTAATAGTCAAAGTTACTATACAATCATATTCGTAGCGTAACAAAACAATTATACTTAATAGTGAAGCTGTAAAAAAATAGGTACAACAATTTGAAATGGCTATTTATGAAAGAGGTATTGTACATATTATCTTGCTCAATTGAATCTAGTTTTATGGGTTAACTCCATTAAAATACAACAGAACAATTATTTTTTGTTACATACCACTATGCACATCATAGGAATGTATCAATATGTATTTTTTTGTACAGTTAATCATGGTTACGGCCTCTTCTTTATGAAGGGCAAAGAACAGGAAACCTAAGTAAACCATAGTTCAATGTTCAAATTAAGTTTAGGGCATTAAAACAATTTTGTTCAAAATAATTAGATACCATACACACATACAGTAGATTCTAACAGTAGAATTATTGTGTACCTATTTTCAGTTTTGAATATTAAGTTTTATATAAGCACGGATTCACCAAAACCAATTTACTTGTTCACACAAGTAAACTGTTTATAGAATTAAAATAAAATATCTCACTCGTAAAAGTTAACAGTTAGCACAAAATAAATTACAGTGAGGTTTGTTACGTGGATTGTAATTTATAACGTTTTAAGTTATTGTTCATGTGTATACTTTCTTCACTGGGTATGTTTGCTGTTATGAATACGAGACAAATTTAATTTGACGATGATCAAGAACTTTTGAAATAACATTTGCCATGAAATGTTCAAAAGTTATTTACATTTCATTGTTTGTAAGAGCAAGTTAGTCTGTGATATTAACATTTCAGGATAGGCTTACTTTACATAATAAATAATTAAACTTGTAAATATTGTATATTACATTTTATATAGTTTTGGTATTGTATGTGCCTTTCTAGAACAGATTTAAGTTTTTGAATGGCTTTGTTACTCCTAGTCAGTTACTGGTTGAGGGCTTTTGTAAAGACATTTTCTCATCAACAGTTTGCACATTTGCATGGATTGTAAGCTTTTATAAGGAACACTTTTTTACTGTGAAGGGTCTTTCAATATTTCAGCCTTATCTCACAAATGGAAATTATCTCACACGTAAACACAACTTTTTGTAAATTGTACAACTTTTTGAATATTCTGTATTATTTTTGTAAATAAACAGTTTGATGATTTGTTATTTAATGTTTTTTTTTTGCCTCTTCCACTAATATTGTTGATGTGAGAATTGAGAAATTTTTGGTGCAGTGCTCTACGTCAAGGAAAATTGAAGAGAAGACGGCTTACGTAGTATATAAAATGAGTTTCATTTTATACATGCTAAATAGTATTGTAAACTATACATTTTTATTCCTAACAAAATGTGTTTCCAGTATTGTTTTCTAATTTTACACTAAAATGACATTTGTCTAGTTGGCCCGGTTTCGAAAGTGGAGCACATCTTCAGGCCATGAAGAAATATTTTTAATGAGCCTGACAGCACTTGGCTTAATGTCAGATTAGCTTTATCTGAGTGTAACTCAGTTAACCTATATCCTAATTCTTACTAGGGTTTTTAAGTATTTGCCGTTCAAAAATATAACTGTGGACTCAAATCGGTAAGTTTGTTAGTTCGATTCTGAAGAAAAGTCATAAACTTTGTGTTGGTTCAAAAGTGACCTTGAATCTTTGTGCTTTTAATGACCTGGTTAAACTAACAGGATCCTCTTCATTCTACCGTCACCCTGCTTATATACAGCTCCAGCATGAAATGTATACATAAAATAACGTCACTGGTAAATGTTCAGGTGAATAAAGCAAACGGGTAATTTTATAACACAGTTTATTCCTTATAAAACAAAAAGGTTCCAAATACTAAGTGTTAACTGTAAAACAGGTTGTGGACAATGCAGTTATCTAAGCTGAAGATGAATGGCTTTGTAATTGAGCAGCAAAAGCTATAAAACAAAATGTGAACAGAATCAGTTTGAAACAGAAGAGTGCTCTTTCTCTGAAGCACTTGGGGGGGTAATTGTAGCAGCCACGTCACTGTTTCAATATCAAACTATCAAAGAGTACAATTTCAGTAGCAATATCCAAAAATATAACAAAAATTGTTTATTTTAGCACATACAGCCACTCTCCGCATCCTGTTGGTCATTCTGCTGAGAGTGCTGGGTTTGAAGATCCACAGCTGACACTTGGTTAAGAAAAGATATTTACTCAGTTGACAACATGGGGAAGGAATCCAAAAAAGGCTGTTTCAAGTTGCCAAATTGAAATCAAACAAGACAAATATGGCATTACATTGAAAAACAGTAAACTGATTCAAGTTTTGTTTGCAAGAGCGTTGAGCCTCTGATCTTGATGACACATTTTGTTTGAATGCTATACTTACCTATTCTTACCAGTATATCAATACATGGTACCACAACAGTTCGGGCAGTATAGGTCTCCAAACATGCGACAGCACTTTAGATCAAGGACTAGCATCCCATCTTGGGGAGTGAGCTGGTTAGGTGGTAGAGCGTGGGACATCGGTCCCAAGTTCAAATCCTGCCAAATCACCAGTGGATTTGATCAAAAAGATAATGCCAAAAACCCTGAGCCTAGCCTGAATTAATGTGAAAAATTGTTCCGAACTCATGCATAGCGTTCTAGAACATAAACAAAAAAAGTATCCCATCTTAGCTTTCCCTTCTATAGTGTTTCGGGTTTAACTCACGTTTAGCTGAGCTGTGAGGCCTAAAATGAATGGCTTGGATGGAATAATACTAAAAATCTTAGTTTGTACACCTGTTCAGGAAATTTTCATAGAATAGCAAGTGCAAGTGCTTATTACTTGGTTGTCTTGGATGCAGCCTTCGTTAGCTATTGATTCTGTCTTAAGTTTCAACACCTCACCAGGTAAAATAGTTTAGTTTTGGCCTCTATATAAGCTGGATTGTTTTTCAATTGAATACATTTTATTTGTACATCACAGAATTTTTTAAAAGTTTATTCATCATGACACCACCAAAAAGATCAGAGTAGTGATTAAGTGGTTGATAACTGATACCATATGAATATAAAAAAATATATATAATCAATCGGGAAAGTATATATTGTTATTATTTTGATGAAAACTCAATTACAAACGAGCTTTTAAACTATGAAATGAACTATAAACTATTGAAACTATGAACTATGATAGAGCTGAATGTGTGTGTATAGCTCTCTCATATTAGTCAGCAAGTTGCCGGGTTGATCATCTTAATCAGTAGGCTTGCTAAAGGTGGTTAAAAACTAGACACAACCAACAATTGGGCTAGGGTCCTCATAAATACAGTAGAACCCCTCATATCCGACCATGACAGGCTGGGCCATCGTCGAAACGACCAAAAGGTCAGATATCGGGAGGAGCATAACCTGCAGTCTCCGCCACATCGGAAATCGTGTCCCGCTACCATGACAACTCCTATAATTGGGAACATTAGTGATCGTCTACCACAATTACGTCTAAATCCACAATCGGCATTTCGGTTAACCGATCGCGCTCGGCGTTATTGCCCCAGACAGGAACAAAGTAGACACTAGGTCGGATATCCCGAGGAGTTCGTTATTCCGAGGTCGGATATCCCGAGGAGTTCGTTATTCCGAGGTCGGATATGAGGGGTTCTACTGTAGTCCTGAAAATGGGTTTTTACAATACATGTCATGCAGTTCCAAAAGTAACAATCATGTTACATATGTTTTGACAGGATCTCATGCACACATGAACATCATTGCTGGTAAATGACGTCAAGAGTCTGTTACTTTAATACTTTTCAATGAAATGTACTACTCGTGTACCGGCAATGTTGTGTTTCCATTATAGGCCTTCTTTTTACAAAAAATAATTTATTTCTATGTCTTATCTGCGTGTGTCGTGTGTAGGATGTGTGTCCGTATTTAAATATCAACAAAGCTAATCAAGTATATTTGATATATTCCCTGGACTGAAGTGTTTGACGATGGCATCTCGCTGAAACATGTAAAATAATTGTTACTTTTCAAACTGCATGACAGGTATTGTAAAAAGACCCATTTAGTCATTATTGAAGTTTTTGGGCTGACATAACGATTTATAATACTAATAAATGGTCTTGACAAAACTACAATAAATCATCTCACATCATTATAGTAATTAAATCATGCATCAGTTGAAAATACAGACTCAAAAGAGCGCATCTTTCTTTTGAGTTTATTAAATTGATCTGTTTCGAAGAGAACTAATAATCATTCACTGTAGCAGCTGATTAAGCACTCAACAGATGACGATTGTGCTTTGTCTATTTTTCAATGATGGCATTAGGCCTAGGTGAGTTGTCTACTTACTAGTTTAGGCAATGCCATTATTGCTTTCTCATTGTTTTCTATCTAAAAATTTTTAATGTATGTCAACTAATAAGAAAATTGAATATAACGATAAATAATAAAACCAAAAGGAAATAAAGGGGGAATTATTAAAATAAATATATTTTATTACATTATGTATTGTATAAATACCCTCATAGTTATAATTAATTATTAACCAATAAGTTATCAAGAAAGATCACTTTCACATCTTATAATACGTTTAGTTGGTGAAGAAGTTATCGATTGCTTAGTCAGTTGGCAGGACATGTCTCAACATGCGCAGCTACTTTCTGAGCTCCCCGACTCATTCGGTGTGTCTTTCAACACCACTTCTTGCACTAAGAAAATGGAGTCAAGGAAAAGCAAAATAAACATAACTAAAACTAAAGATGAAATAAATACAACAAAAATAACAAGGGAAAATTATGATAAAAATAAAAAATTTAGTGGTGTGTAGTAAAATATTGTTTAGTATAGATTTTTTAATGGGTAAAATCTGAAATAATATCATACAGTAGACTCTCTCTAGTTCGGCCACCATGGGACTGGACCACACGCTGGACTACAAAACGGCCGGATTAACCGGAGGTATTATCAAAAGTTAAAATAACCCCATTAAATTAATTACCAACGCTTAAAAATCAACAAATAAAATTATTTTAATATTCTTTTACAACATTACTTACCAAAAGTGAGCTTTTATCTTTCTTGAATTAACAAATTGTTGTTTCTGCTTATAGATACGTTTTCTAACCCTGGACTGATTCGCCCCTACCGAGACAATCTAGAATGCAGTCTTTATTCCATAATCATTAACAAATGTTTATGTTTTTAATTATTTTAGAAGACATTCCAAACAGTAAGCCGACATATATAGCTCACATTTACTCACGACGTTCACCCCAAAAAACAATCTAACACTGAACAGTAAAAACACATAAACATACAAAATCACAGATCAAAAACACTGTTTAACACAACAGTTTACCAACCAATCGTCTATAAAAGCACCTGTCAACTAAACTGACAAATTGTTTTCTTATACAGCCGGAAACTAAACATTCAAGCTGAACCCTGTAGAAAGTTATTCACTTGAGACGATGTGACTCATCCCTCCGAGACTGACCAATCCAACCGAAGCCGAACTAAAGGGAGTCTCAACTCAATTCATCACCAAGATCTTGAGTGACTAGACCAAAACCAGCAAACTCTTGTTGAAGAGATAACAGGCTGCTACTTTTTTTTACCTCAACTGGGTAGACAGATTATACAGAGCCTCGTCCGTTTATTAATATACAGGGTGTTAAGAAAAGGTGGGGACATAATTTGCGTAGCGATTCCTTTGGTCAAAATAAGCAAAGGGGAATATAAACATATGTCCTACGTCGTTTTCTATACCGTCTGTCTGTCCGTATGTGAGTGTTATAAAAACATTTACAACTCCTTACAGGTTTGAGCTTTGGCATTGAGATTCTGCAAAAATGTTCAACCCATTGGCCACTATATTTGTGCAAAGTATGAATACAATTCCAGAAACCATTTTAAAAGGCAGCTATTTCTCAGTTATTCTTTGTCAAAACTAAGTGGTACAACAGATAATCATTAAAATTTACATAACTTTTACTAACTCTTTATGTACCTTGCTTTTTTGTTGTAAAATTTAAAGTAATTTAAGTAGCTGCTATTTTAAAACGGTTTCTGAGCTTTTATTTACATTTTGCACAAAGATAGTGGCCAATAAGATGAACATTTTTGCAGAAACTTAACGTTGTAGCTCAAAACGTTAAGGAATTATGAATGTGTTTTGAAAAAAAAACACATACAGACAACAGACGCTAAACAAAACGACATATGACATATGTTTATATAAACTTTTTTGCTTATTTTTATACAAGGAATCACTAAGCAAATTTTGTACCCGCCTTTTTTGAGCACCCTATATAGTCCCATGTATTCTAATATATAGGCCAAAACAACAAAAATATTTCAAAACAAACAATCAATTGGATTAAAGATAGACCCCTCGATTGCCACATACACACATGTACACATGAAATCAACAACATCCCGGGTATTTGTTTCCTTTGGAACACAAGTAAGAGTGTAAAGGATACTATCTTCTGGTGGCTTGTTCTCTGTTGAGTCCATGCCTGGCAGAGCCGCTGCTACTCTTCGGAACAACTAGAGAATTGACAAAGTAATTAGTAATTAACGATGAGAAACTACTTTGCCTACTTTGCTCTTTTAACGGGTAAGAGCAAAAACACAAAAAAAAGGATAAGTCAAACTTTGTGTTGCAGAGTTTTTGTAAATGTTGGGGGTTTAACCATCTGTAAAACTGTAATCAGACAAATCAAACCCTTCATACTGGTACCAGGACGTCTCGTAGCTTGAAAAGTCATAATCCGATAGAATGGTTTGTAAAACATAAACACCACCTTAAAGTTAAATTTCCCAATAGTTAAAGAATAAAAGGTGTCAGTAAAAAAACAATCAACGGGAAGCAGAATCACTAAGGGGGAATTATCTGATCTTTCTCATAACAGATTTACAGACCTTTCAAACCTGCCATTATTTTATGAAACCCTTGGTAGTCTTGATAATGATACTTAACAGCAAGAAATAAAGAAACCATTGGAAAAAGGTCTCTTGTAGATTCCCTTTAAATGTTACTACACTAGATCCTTTGACAGACAAAACCTCAACGAGAAAACCAACTTAGCAAACATAATTTTATATTTTCATCTAGAGTCTAGCAAATCGAGGTTAGGGCCTGTACTGTTCAAAACAATTTAATGGATCATCACAAAATAGTTCTAACCAATTTGTCATACACATACTTTATAGACAAATTAATAGTATTGTGCAGTACCCGGGACTGGATATTTTATGAGGTTAATATTAACATTGCAATACTGCTTTTCATTATTGTAAACCCCACATAAACTGCACAATAAACTCATTTAAAATTTCCAGAAGCTTGAGTTATTTTATTTAAAGAACAAAATTATTTACCATTCGACTTATAGGACAGATTGTCACACTCTCCACTTACTTGCTTAACGTTATATCCAGCCTTAGCACTAGTTTCTATAAACATGACGTTGAGCTCTTTGGCCTTGCGCTCTCCCTCCTCAGTGGATACTTGTCTCTTGTCGGACAAATCTGTTTTGTTGCCGACCAACATAATGATCACATCGCTGCCTCGCTCCGTCCTCACGTCGTCAATCCACTTTGACGTCTGGTGGAATGAATTTGCGTCTGCAATTGCAACAGGGTATCAAGGGAAATTCTAACTGCCCACAGACTTAGCTAGTTAATTTGAAAATCTGACACAGTATATGCATGGGGTAGCACACAGTAAATTACCAAATATCAATAATCAATTTAAATGTAAAAAAAACTCTTAATAATATAAAGAGTACTATTGTGTAAATGATTATTATGTGTTTTCCTGAGCTTTATGTCCGAGTATAATAACTCGTAGAAGATACTATGCTGGTTACAAGTTTAACTAGACAATCTAAAATCTTTCCATTTTCATAGAGCTGTGCAGGCTTGATTTTAAATGTCTATGTAAAATAAAGAATTAACTATTTACTCTTTCTCTAGGTGAAGTTGAATGATTACTGCAGCATAAACCTCAGAAACAAAATACAACTTGGAACAGATTCAGTAAAATTGTTGTGTCAGTTTCTATTTTTCTTTTTCCCAGTAAGACTCTGCACTAAACCTCAAATCACAACCGCTAAAAACTCCTAAAGATGAATCAGTAAGATTGTAGGCATGATGTATTACTTGTAATATCGTAGACGACCACAGCGACAGTGGAGTCTCTGATGTAGGAGGGTATCAAACTGCGAAACCTCTCTTGTCCTGCAGTGTCCCACAACTGTAGTCTCACCTGACACACAGACAAACACACAGCTATAACTGTGGAGCCTTCAACACAGTTAACACAAATCAAACATCCTCGATCATCTGCAACTTACAGTGCTTTACTAGATCATGTGTGCCTTAATGTATTTATAAGATGTTGGAAATTTAATGTTTTAATAAAGTGCAGATAAGTTTTTTATTACATTGTTTGCAATTCAAAATACAAGTATTTTAAATCTCATCTCGAGTGCAACTGAAGGTGTTTTGTATCACATTTCACACAATGTGTTCAATTGCGTTGTAGATTACGAGCATCTCAAAGTAGTTATATCACGTGGGGCTGATGGTGTTATAGATCATAGGAACTGTATGTGTTTTAAATCCTTTGCAACTCTCTGCACAACATAAAGTGTTTTAGATGATATACCACTCTAAATATGTAACAACGGAATTGAACAATGAATGTGGTCTAAATGCACAAAGGATGTGATCTTTCTCCTCTTTCAAAGGCTTCTTCATAAGTAGATGGGTAGAAGTAGATGGCAGTTACAACCCTTCTACTTCTAAATAAGCCTCTGTAGGAGGCAAAGTATCAATCCTTTGTGTGTATATAACTTATTTGTGCTGTGACTCGTCTGAAATCTCTCTTCAGGTGAGTTAGTTGCGTCCTCTCCATTCTATACTATTCTTAATCCAAGCTAAATACTTTTTCCTAAAAACATAAGCTTATAGTGACAAATCTTTCCACTCTTTCCTTTACTCCTTTCTTTCTTTATTGTCACTGTCCAGCTATCCTATCTACCATGAACCTATCTTCCTTTTGGCAAAAACAAACCAGACAACATGCTTTCAAACTATCAGTAGTATTTTTTTTTTAGATATTTTTTGGTAAAAATTGTTGTGTTAGAACAAAAGGAAAGGCATTTGCATTTGCATCATATGATGCAATTCTCTTGCGTGTTTGAAAACCAGGAAAGTTATAGAATTTTATCAGCGATTGTACTCTGTTATCAGCCTAGAGCATAACTAGAGCAGTGTTTGTATAAGATCTCAGTTCTTTAGGAAAAGGAAATTTAAAATTACAGTTAATAATTAGAAGTTCTGTGTCTTACTGTGTTACAAATGTCATAAGATGTACATGGGTTTGATTAATAATTGTTACTAGATACATATTTAGAAATGTACGAAATATAAAACTGTAATTTTTCAAAGGATTTTTTTACAGATATTATACTGTTCAATGTATTTTGCACAATTCCGAAGATCTTGTAGACACTCATTTTTCACCAATCAGAAACAGCCAAATAATTGGGTTCTTATGATTTTAAAATATGTGTAAACCTTTTAAGAAAAACATTTAATGGCATAATTTGAAATACATTTCAAAATTTACAAATAACAAAAAAAAACTCAGGATTCAATCCAAACTTTTTGGAAATTATCAACTAATGCTAAAAATAATACATATTTTACTTACGGTTCTGTCTTCCAAATACATCGTTTTTGATAAGAAGTCTATTCCTATTGTAGCCTAGAACAAAAACCACCATTAGGCCTAGTTATGAAAATTATTAAATTCGATTCAGTTTATATTAATTCCTTTAAAACTAACCCTCTTTGCTTTGCAAAAGATTTTGGTCCGGATCGCTACCTGTTTTGAGCCATAAAATGTTACATGAAAAAAGTTATTTTGCAACAATAAAAATTAAAAATTGTGAATAAAACTGAAGACCATCAGGATCCCAGGGAGAGTTAACGAGTCTACTCGGGGGTTTCTCAACAGACAAGCCATAAACCATTGGATTGCTGCAGTTTTATTATTCAAAATATTTTGAGAAGTGATGTTTTTAATTTTAGTGAAAACTGCTGTTTTGGAATTACCGGTACATTGGAATCTACAGAATAATTTGTACAGGGTGTCCAAAAAGCTGAACAACTTTGGAGCTTAATAAAATTGATTTAGGCATCCATAGATCATTTTTTAAACTACCTTATAATAGAGGAACTCATAAGTTTTTCAACATGATTTGCATGTATCAGCTGATCCATTGTTGTCGCTCAAAGCTTTAAACTTCAAGACATAACCTACAGTAAGGCAGACGTCATGAACGTGCAAGAGAAAGCTCAGTGTGTTGAATATCACATTGAAACAAAGTCAAACACAATGTGATTTTTCTGCCTAGGGTTTTGTTAAAGACCAAGTTTACAGGTTGAAAGTCTCCAATGATGGAGAATTGAGATTTAAAAATCAATACAGCCTTCAGCAACATCACTGATGAAATGCGACATGGAGTGTGGTCAGAGTTAGATAATCGTATTGACTGTCTTTTTGCCAACAATAGAAGCCATGTTTTAACATATCCAGAAAAACTTAAGAATATGTGTGGTACTTTACATTTAATACAAATTTTATAAGCATTTTATTAAAATATTTACACTGTAACAAAGTTGTTCAGTTTTTTTGGGACACCCTGTATTTATTAGCTTCTGGCTAGTAATAAACACATTGTTGTTACTAAATCTGAACTCCTGCATCAATCTTTGCATGTTTCCAAACTTTCTATTTATTGCATTGTTATTTATTTTTGTTAATATAGTCTATCCTGTTGTTATTGTTATATCTTGTACTTGTACAGAGTTTATTATATTGTTATTTTTCTGCATGTTTTATCTGTTTTCTTGAAGTTTGTTCTGCCTCTTTACTGAAGTTTCACTCGGCTACTGCTTTGCATCATTGTATTGTTCCATACTGGTTTTGTTTTTTGAATACTGTATCTCGTTTTGTCAACTTGCTCAGATAGTTTGTTATTTATAGTTGTTACTTATAGTTTGTTATTCATAGTTAGTTATCTATAGTTTGTTATTTATAGTTGTTATTTATCTTTTTATGTCTTGAATTGAAGTTTTGTTTTCCAGTTTTTTTTTTCACTACTCTTGTACTGACCTGTGATTTTTTTCTGCTTCTGATGTAAGAAGCATGTATTGTATTTACATGTAAAAATGGTGCATCCGTTAATAAATAAATAAATAAATAAATGCAAGAGTAGTCAACTCCACCCATTTAATGATGGGAGAGTTCTACTTATCAATTGTTTGTACCAAGAGTGTCCGGTAAAGTTTTAATTAAGTCAAGATTCCCACATATATGGGGTTAATTGTGGTTTATAAATTCAATTTAGAAAGCAGACTAATTTATATGAGTATAATTCCCCTCTGGCAGCAAACCTAAGCGAATTTCCATTTTGCCTGACTTACAGTAAAATATTTCTTTAAAAATTTCAGATTTGTTCTTTTAAAAAATACCCCCGCCGCAGCAAACCTGCAGACTAAGCGAATTTCCATTTGCCTGATTGGATTTACACTAAAATGTCTCCTTAAAAATATAACATTTATTCCCTATTTAAATAGCATTAGTTTAACGAGTACTTAGGTTTGCTGCAACAGGGAGGGTAAAAGGTGTTTTTGTAAAATGTTAATAGTTTAGTATGAAATTAACACATTTTCCAAATTTAATCAAAATAAGCTCATAAACAAGCAAACTACAACAGTTTACAATTTTCTCCATAAGAATAAATGGGAATTTTTAATTTACACTTTTTTAATTTTCTCCGCAACCATTATATTATTATAGGCTATCTATCTCATGCATGTTACTGATTTTGTTGTACTCCTTTCTCTAATATTAGGCCTACTATCCACTTAACTACATACAGTAGATAAATTTTCCTGGTTTTCTTTCATTCTGACATGACAGTACAACGTACAACTGACAGTTGCTCTGTCTACGCTACATTACTACTCAGTGCAATCCCGTAACCAGCGCCATAAGCTTCAACCTCATTACAGTTTAATTTATTCTCTATGTGTTAAAACTTAACCTTGTCCTTAATTGTGCATTTTATGTCCACACTGAACACTTTTGTTATTAATTGTTAAGTGCTAACATGGACTGTGTAATGCAGAGTGTATACGCCTAAAGTTTAACACGAGGTGTACTAATACTTTTGAAATTTTGTTTGTGTATTTCAATGTAAGAGGCATTTTAAATCCATCTATGTGACTTGTCTCTTGGGGAGAGGGGGGGGGTGTGGCTCAGCGTAGCAACTGATAGGATGCATTGCTCCACTTTCCAAAAGTGAGTCTGGAAAAGGGTAGAAGAGGGTTTTCCTATTTTGGATCCAATCTTCTCCCATAGGACCTTAAAAAATGATCATCCGACATGTGAAATCATAGGTCTTTTTGTATTTTTTTCTCTTTTCAGCGAATTTCCCAAATAGGGAATAAGCTATTACTGTAGTACTCATGGTAAGACCTGGACCCGGGACCGATTTAATTTTTCATCATGAGGTCTCTAGAGGCCAAAAATACCATCTGTTTAAATTCATATATATATATACCTATATTTATTTATTTATTAAAGGAAGCATACTAACTCAGTACCCTGAAATTATTTTTTGTCACACTCACAGAAGATGCTACAGTCCAAATTACGATATATGTTCAACCTTAGTTTGGTAGGTACTGTGTGACATAACAGATACAGTCAGCAATAAGTTCTCCTTTGGGTACGGCAAGGTTAAAAATTGCATCTCCCCACATACAGTATTTTTAAGAATTCCCAACCATATAACAGTAGGAATAACATATGATGGGAAACATCTTAGGGGATTCACTACCTCAATTTCCACATTTTAATACATCTATTAAAATGTAAGTCAACACTGTAATATAGAAGTTGTTTTACACCCTACTTGGTGGTGTTCTATGACTTTCACTATGTTTCCATAGTTTGCAAATCGGCTCTTTCAATGATTGCTCAAGAAATGCAGCACTGTGTTAATTCAGTTTTCATTCTAGTAAATCAAATTGTCTAGGCTTTTTTGCTTTGTTCTATTGTAATATTTACGCTAACCCAAATTCAAATAGGCCTAGTAAATATTTCATTTTAACAAAATCAGTATAAATGTTTGTAGCACACGTTTAGTTAAATTGCAACTAAAATATTAACAGCAATTAAATTATTCAGCTGATCATAATGTAAACAGATATGTTCTTCATAAGGATAACATGGGAACTTAAAAAGCAACTGGGGCAGAGCCCAAGGGACATTTTCAAAAATGGAAGGTCAGTTTTCAAATCTACACACCTAGACTAACATTTTGGTATATAATATCTAACAAAAAACCACTAAGTGGTAACACTTCCCCCGCCAAGTCAGCAACCCAAAAAAGACAATAAATCACCACTTTTCCGCCAAGTAAAACAATGTAATGTATGTAAGTTTGGCAACTTGGCGGCAGACTTTTGCTTGTTTTTTTTTTTCATTAAAGTTACGTTGGTGGATAATTTCACAAATCAACTTCTCTAATTAATTAGTCCAACTAAGTATAATAATTTCGAGGTAATCAGTAAATATAAAACCATCACTATTATGATTTTATGAAATGTGACACAAATAAGGTCAAATTTTGTAAAATAAGCTCTCATCTAGCAATGTACTATTGGGAGAGATAGGTACTTGCTCAATGAAACTAATTTTATGGTATTTTTTAAAGTGATCAAGCAAAAGTCTGCCGCCAAGTGGCCAAACTTACATACATTACATTGTTTTACTTGGCGGAAAAGTGGTGATTTATTGTCTTTTTTGGGTTGCTGACTTGGCGGGGGAAGTGTTACCACTTAGTGGTTTTTTGTTAGATTGTATTTATTTTTGTAGAAAATTAACAGTTAAAATAAAAATCCTCTTTTCTCTTATATATAGACCAGGGCACAAATTGGTGTTACATAAGTGTTCCGATAATTAAACCCGTATATCTAAAGACTAGTGTAAATTGAGCCCTTATTAGAGAAGTAAAAATGTAATCAAACAGATTAGGTTTGTTAGAAATAGCATAAAGCAAAACAAATATTGAAAAACTCATTTTTATCCTAAATTTACATATCACTTTTTACATTCACTTTTTTGCTTGTTTAACATACGTAGACGGATTTTCCCGATTGTTTTATTTGTTTTAGTGTATCAAAACATAAAACTAACCTTATTTAGTTAAATAAATTTTGGCAATATTATGAAGAAACAATGTTAAAACTAACCTTAGTACTAGTACTAAGTTTCAAGTTCCTAGGTTTCATATGTTTTGATAAGTAGTATTAAACTGTTAAAAATGACGAGCTGCTGTACCAGTGTACCATCGGTACACTGCATTTTTCAATGGAAAGTATCGGGGAATATCACTGCTTTAAGTAATTTTATATAGTAAGTAGCTCAAATGATTCGGTATACCTGAAAAAAATACTTTAGGCCTATAAAAGTTTTAAAATAATTTTTCAGCTGATCCTATGAATTTCTCTAACATTTTAAATTAATTGAGATTTAATCGCAGCTGATCCTTCTTTTGTTTTGATTTTAATCCCATGTTATTTAAATGGACCAAAATCGTACTTTGAGGGCTTGCCAAGGGTTTATGGGTCAACGCACCGACTTGTGACCCTCAAAAGGCACATCTACACGCTAAGGGCTTTCAAACAACATAAAAAACATTAAAATTGAGCCAGTGGTTTGGGCTGTAGGTCCGTCAACATTTAAGGAGAAGAAGGAGAACACGGAAAATTTGTGAATTTTCAAACTAGTTTTTCTTGGCTCAAACACAACCTTTTTTTAAATTCTTTTTTTTATTTTGCCAAGAATGATTGCCCCTATCCAGTGGATGAACAATTATTTTAATAGCTTTTGTTTCTTCAGAGCTATAGACGAGTAAAAAAGCCACTTTGTCACGTCATGTATATATACACTGCAGCAGCTGTGTACCGCTGGGGGACTTGGCGGGGCGGAACGCTGCCGCGTTCCTTAATGTGGAGTTAAATTTTAAAACAAAAAAAGCCTTATTGTTTACAAAGTTTCATGTAGCGTATTTATATAGATGTCATACAAAACTTGTACCTACCTGATAGGTGTTATCGAAGCTGTCATACATGAACCTCGTAATCAAAGAAGTTTTTCCAACTGAAATAACAGTAGACATTATGTTAGCAAGGCTCACTGCACTTAAATTACTGTCGTTAACTTAAATTTCTCTTAAAATGTATTTTGTGTTGTGTCTGTAGGCGTACTGTAACCTACTTGACTTCCACCAACCAACGTACAACTTGACTAACCAAACAATAGCTTGAATATATGATAATTTATTACAAAAATTGTTTACATCATGACCGGACAGGATAAAAGACCCTAAGCAAAAAGTAGTCTTTGAGATCATTTGGCTTGATTTAGGCCAACACTGATAATAAACTTGACCAACACACTTCTGTAATGGTTTCCTACGATTCACCTAAATTCCATCGATAAGAATTCTACAATGAAGATACTGCATGTAGGAAATGTGTGCAGTAGGAGGAAACTGCTGTCCATCTACTCTAGCCTATGACTGCTTAGCTCTGAATAAAATAAGGAAAAGCACTCTTGGAACGATGCCAAGGGGCAGACACCTTTCTCAGGAGGAATCATAGATGGGATGCTGCAGTTCATCAAGCAACTCAGGTTTGACACGCTCTGATGCACCAAACGGCAAGTGCAAAAGGCATAGGTATTTGCGACTAACGTCCATAGGGACTAGGTCCGCCTGATTGAATCAATCAATCACACTAGGGTCATTAGCAGAATAACACCTTGTATGAAGCTAATGGAAATTATTGAATAGAGTTGAATAGGCTGTATAGTTTTTAGCAGCCTATGTAATTTACAGTACAGTACGATATAGGCTAGAACAGTTCTACATTCCACCAAACTTAAATGTGAGAATACACAGGCCTACTCTATACTAGGATTGCTTTCATAGCAGTTAAAGCCAGTTGAGTGGAGCGATCATTAATGGTTTTCAATAAAGCAAAAAATGAAAAAAAAAATGTATAAGTAGATATAATACAAAATACAAATGTTCCCACACTCCGCACTGCTAGCCTTTACTAATTCCTTCACTACTTACTTCCTACGTTGTGGACCTGTTCCTCCCTTCCCATAGCATTTTAGGATTGCCGATACATTAATCTAACTGCCACAAACAATTCCCACACTCCACACTGCTCGCCTTTACTACTGCCTTCACCACTTCCTACGTCGTGGACCTGTTTCCGTCCCTTCCTACAGCATTATAGGATTGCAGATACATAAATCTAACTGCCACAGACGGTTCCCACACTCCGGACTGCTCGCCTTTACTACTTCCTTTACCACTTCCTACATCAAGGACCTGTTCCCCTTCCTTCCCAAAGCATTTTAATATTTTAGATACATTAATCTAACTGCCCCTAAGCGTTCCCACACTCTGCACTGCTAGCCTTTACTATTTCCTTCACCACTTCCTACGTCGTGGATCACTTTCCCTTCCTACCCATAGCATTATAGTATTGCAGATAGATTAATGTAACTGCCACAAACTGTTCCCACACTCCGCACTGCCAGGCTTTACTACTTCCTTCTCACCACTTCCTAGGTCGTGGACTTGTTTCCCCCCCTTCCCATAGCATTTTAGTATTTTAGATATAATTATCTAACTGCCACAAACCTTTCCCACACTCCGCACTTATCGTCTTTACTACTACCTTCACCACTTCCTAGGTCGTGGACCTGTTTAAGTTTGCCATTCATGGATGTGATTCACAGACAATTTTTTTAAGACAAAATGTTTTTTTTTTATAACCTTATTTAGCTACGTAGGCCTTAAATCAAATCTGTAAAATACTGTGCCTAAGAAAGCATGTTTTATCTATGACTGTAGACCTACCTATTCGATCAATGGTGGATCGATTTTACGAGCAAGGGTGGATAATCCGTAGGACTATCGGTTGATGCGAGGTCGGTTAGGAGGCGGTCTATTGAAATACAGTACTGGTATCTTACTGGCAAGTGATAACAAATTGAGGGACCAAACACAAAACTCAAACAAGCACACTAGCCACCTGCTTTTAAAAAGAAATTTCCTACTAGACTTCATCTATTTGTTAGGCCTAAGATATTATTATTGTTTATTGTTGCTGTTTTGTAGGCTAATCTTAACCCTAAGTTAATTCACTTAGGCTATGTTAACTTAAATGGTCTCTCGATGGTTTGGCCTTATAATAAATCTGGCCGCCAATCTAAGCCAGATGATCAAAGTTCCACTGTAAAACAATGATTTGAAAGATGCACAACTTTTCTTGCCCATGATTGAAGCCTGGTTTACACGGGTCGAGTACGGCGGGCGAGTCAGTGTGCAAGTTACCACTCGCTCTTTAACTAGCATGGTGTAGACATGCAGGCGAGTCAAGCAATGGGAGAGTTGATAAAAAAAGGTCAGTTGAGAGCGAGTCGAGTGATTTAGTTGAAAACCGAGTTGCTCGGCCCAATAGCTACCCCCACCACCACGATTTGCCCGTGAAACATCTGTTTACTGATATAAAGTGAGTCCAGTTACCACAGAATTATTTTTTTTGTATTTTTTTGTGGTCGCTGAGTGAGTCGATCACACACAACGATAAGTATTGAGGTTAGTTTCTAGTGAGTAGTGTAGGCCTACTCTCCCTCAATGCTCAATGGTTTATTTGAACAGTACAAGTGATTTTGTAAAAGTACAAGTTGGACAGTATTGTGTTGCATTGTCTCGTAAATCTACTCTTATAGAATTCAGTTTTCAAGATTGTTGTAGGCCTACAACTTAAGATCTACAGTTCTACTGGACAGATTTTATTTATATAGATGGGTCGTTAGAAAGCTCACTCCCTAAACATGTGTTCTATCAGAAATACATTGAAAGCGGTGTTTTGAAATTTTTTATTTGGAGGCAACTTTTGGCTGCCTTTATATATATATTATTTTAAAGAAATGCAGTACAGTAGGTAATTTGTAACAAATCTTATTTTATTTTAGAATATCACCTTTCACTTTTGGTCTATTTCCTCACCACTTAACAGTTATTTGCAAAAAAGCTTTTAAGCAACCCTCTGAATTTAAGTGGTGATTCAGTTTTAATCTTAATACTCTAATTCAGTGATTTAATTAAGTTACTGTATAGATTCAGTATTAAACTCTTGAAGGGCCATTTTAAACTCAAACAACAATTAACACAAAAGCTACGGTATACAGAATACCCAACACCATAGAGAAATAATAAAAATTACTTCTCTGTGCCTACACTGTCCCTGTTTGAAACAGGAATAGGCCTACGTTAGACAGTCCAGTTAAGTACTGGGCGAGTTGAACAAATCAACAACTGGGCCCTAGTAACTGGGCCGAATAACTCGTCTGACATACTCGACCTGTGTAAACCAGGCTTGATAGTCAAGCCGTTTAAAGTAAAAGCAATTTTATAATGCCTTATAAACTGGGCTCAGCTGTCACTTACATCAACTAAAAAAGAAATTCATATAAGTTAATGATAGGTCTTGGTCAGAAATCAAGACATTTTTACTTGCTAACTTATAGCCTAGGCCTACCGTATCTACCCTATCTTTGATGAGCAAGGTAGGTAATCTGTAGCCTATTTTAACTGTATATGAAAAACTTGTCTCAGTAAATAAACTAATAATTTGACTAGTAGTTTGAATTGGTTCAATAGTACGATGTATATGGCAAAAACAATAACGTTAGCTTACAAGGGATCAGAAATAAGTTTTTAGACAGAAACATACCACTTTGTTCTCCCAGGAACACTAGTTTAAACTTCCTGAGGGGATTTCCAAAGTCCCCTGAAGAAGACATAATTAAACACAATCACAACAATTATACTTCAAACACAGAAACTAAGCACCTAGCTTAATTTTTAATTCATCGAAACATAAATATCACAAAACTAATCGACCTAATTAAGTTATTTTGCACTAAATCTATAAAATCGACGACAAAGTGTCTGACAGTGACAGAATCAATCTTATCTCGGCCTGCAGCCACGTTTGCCAAAATCCAAGACAGAAAATGCAGAGCTCATTAAATAATATTTTAGTTAAAAAAGAGCACTATAACAAGTACACCAGATACTAAGTTTAATAATTAATTACAAACTTAAAATAATTTCTTTCAGATGCTCAAAAAGGCCAATCAATGATAATAATATCTTAAACCTGGCGTATACCTGATTATTTTATCTCAACTTGAACTTGAACGAAACTACACTTGAAAACAGTCGCTCTTAAGCAAAAGTGTAGAGGAAATCATTCTCCCGGGGCCTTTTTCATAATAAAGTACAAACTAATATTATTAATAAATCACCTGATCGCCCAATGCAAATCAACTTGTCTTGTAACTTGTAGTTAATTATGAAATGGGCCCCCGATGGCGAGGTTAGCCAATTATTATTATACTAGCAGAGTACCCGTCCTTCGTACGTTATGAAAACTCATAAGGTTAACATGAGGAACTACAGAGCCACTGGGGTGGAGCCCGAAAGTATTTTTGGGATAAGAATATCGCAGGGCCGGATTTCCCAATAGCGCCCGGGCCTATGGGCGCATGCTCCCAGAGGGCGCACGGCCGAGAGGAAAAATATTTTTTAATATCTAAAAATAAAATAAATAGCCATAGCTTAACATATTTTGCGAGTTGATAAAAAAGAACTCTTGCCAATAAAGCATTATAATTATATTACTGTTACAACATTACACATCAATTTCGTTACAACATTGGCAACGAACATTGGTTATACAGGAGTAGGCTGTAGGGATGTTGTCAAGCGCCCGAGCGGTACGCATCGTATTGCCACTGTAATCTTTGCACTGCCACTATGCTGGCTCGGCGCTACTGATCGGAGTGATTGGGGGCGCATGCGTACTAGACACCATATTACCGTTTACCACCCTCACCTCACAAAAAAAAATCATTAACTAATCTTTTGATCAGTTTACCTGCAGGGTCAAGTTAAAATATATAATACGTTTTGTTGAATACCTATTAAAAATACGATAAGTTTATCTTGTCTTTTATAAGTTTATCTTTATCAATTTATCTAAAATTCAATAACGAAAAAATATTTATCTGAGTTTGCAACAGGTTTTAGAAAAATTAAATCCCCTCCAAAGAAATCATTAATGGTGTCATTTTCTCCTCAGCTTAGACCTGAGGATAATTATGGTCGGCGGGACTATTGCTTTGTTTTGCTTTGCAAATATAATCTGGATGCAGTACTTCCATAGATTAACCATAAACTCAAGTCGACTTTTTATCACATTGTTAATTCTAATCTAAATATAGTAATACTCAGACGGGTTAAAAATTGTTATACAATAAATGAAGACAAATTTAAACGGATAGAAACAATTTGTTTTAAAAGATTACACCTAGAAGAAATTGATCGTAATCAAACAATAAATACCCAAAAATTAAGAAATGACTTAAGAGAAAAAGAGTTTGAAAATTGGAAAAGCTTAAAACAGAAGGGTAAAGGTGTTGAACTTTTCAAGGACTATACTCCGGGAAATAAAAGTATAATTAATAAAGAAGGCTTGTCAGAATCTGAGTGGAAAGACAGTATAAAAATGATTGCAAATGTGGTGCCAGTGCGTGTTCTCCACGGCAGAAGTCAGGGCAATAACCGCTGCAGGCATGCCTGCGGTGAGATTGAAACCCTTGCACATGCCCTTGGCTTCTGTCCGTTTGGTGAACTTCTAAGAAACACAAGGCACCACAAAATAAGAAGTATCATAGCAAATGCCTTCCGAAAAAGGTATAATACATGGGAAGTGCAAGAAGAAGTACACTGTCTTATTTCTTCTAACGGAAGCACCAGAAGAGTTGATATTTTATTGATTTAAAGAGAATCTAACAAAGGCATAATTCTCGATCCTACAATTCGATTTGAAATAAACATAAATCAAGCTAACGAAGTAAATGAAGAAAAGAAAAAAATTTATGATTTTACCTTTGAATATTTCAAGCAAAATTTTAAAATTTCGAAAATTGAGGTGATTGGATTGTTTATTGGTTCTAGAGGAACATTATCAAAATTTTTTGTGAACTTTTGGAAACAATATGATTTGGACAGATCCTTTTTGAAAATTATTATTCATGAAACAGAGGTTCATTGGCCATAATGAGAAATCATCTATATGGAAAACATCAAAATTAATCAGTCTTATAGCTGTATAATTCTTCGATATTTTATGTTTACTATTTTTCTGTGTCTTTGGCAACCTTATTTTTTAAGGCAGAGGTATTTATTTTTACAAATAAATTCTTTTCTCTAGGCCTATGTTTAATCTATGGTATCACGTACTGTTATGGCGTTCATGTTTTGGGGCCTGAAATCGGAATCAATGGATATGCTTTTTTGCAGGAATGCTCTGTGGTTTGGATTGTTTTGTTTCAGTCCCACAAGCGTGAGCATTTGCCAAAAGTATAAAACTGACAAAAGTGTTTAAGACGGCATTTTGTTAAGGCTAACCAAGACAATTCTTCAAAAAACTTGCAATTATAAAATTCCGACGAGGAGTGGTGTTCAAGCAATTAACATAGGCCTATAAATAGGATAGGCCTATATATATATTTATCAGGAATGTGAGCTATCATCATGCCAAATTTCAGCCTAATCCGTCCAGTAGTTAATGCGTGATTGAACTTCAAACAAACAAACAAACACACAAACTGTCACATTTATAATATTAGTAAGAAATAAGATTACCATTAATTAAGATAGTAACGCTGTATTCGGTCCGGTCCGTACGGTACTCTTGTACGGTGTGGAGGTGTGGGCAGGTGCTCTCAATAAGGAGGTATATATGATGCGGCTCACCCGAGTGCAGCATCAGGCAGCTCTAAGGGTAGCACCTGCCTACTAATCCGTGTCCGAACCTGCCGTCCTGGTGGTTGCTGGAGTCATCCCCGTCAAACTTTTATGGCGGCGGAGAGAAAAAGAATTTATCAGCACCGTGGGTTGGACCATGCACGAACAGAGGAACGCACCCACACCTACCAGCTGTGGCGGGAGAGTTGGGAACAGAAGATACGGGGAGCTGGACAATCAGGCGACTGATACAGCAAGTCCAACCTTTTGGGTTAATCGGTGGTGCAGAGAGGTGGACTTCTACTTCATCCAATTTCTGACGGGTCACGGCTTTTTCCGGTTGTACCTGTTCAGAATAGACAAAGCCGTGTCATCTGATTGTATGTACTGCCCAGACATTCCCAATGACGTGGAACGTACCTATTTCCACTGCCATCGTTGAAAAAGGCCCCACCTGGATCGGAGGCTCAACAGTTAGTAGGACTGCTGTCGGTGGACACGGTCATACCGATGATGACAGAGATTGAGGACAATTGAATCGTTTAATGCAGAACCACCATAACCATTTTTTTCGATTTTAACTTATTAGTATATTAATGATGCACTCATTCGATATAATTACCTTAGTGCAGAAATCACACAACTGCGAAAAAGTTGGTTATGGGGTTTCTGCAATAAACGATTCAATTGGACCTGTGTGTCACATTACATACAGGGTATTCGGTATTCTCCGCATCAAGAAACTCGACCTTGTCCAGAGGATGCGGTGTAGGTCATAAAGAATCTAAATGCCAGAAACGGTGAGAGCTCTGAGGGCTTAGGTCACGTCATGTTATGGCCTGACTTGAAGTAATGCGACAAACAATTTAAAGGTCTGTGTCCAAAAGAGTGGAGAAGGTTTTTTATTGAGTAGTCTGATATATTCAGGAGTCTCACACTACAGGTTGGCTAACTGTTTAGAGCTTCGTCAGGTCAATATGCAACCATCTAATATAAATATATAAATATACATTTTGTGGTATGTCAAAACAATTCTTTAAAATACTGTAAAAATCACAATGATCGAAACTTGTCATGTTGATAAAATAATTAAAATGGAAGAAAAAGTAATCATACCCCCACCGCAGCAAACCTGCCGACTAAGCGAATTTCTATTTGTCCGCATTGATTTCCGATTAAATCTATTAAAATAACATTAGGTTTCACGAGTACCTAGGTTTGGTGCTACAAGGACTATAATAAAGTGTATTTTTACTAAAAATTAATAGCTTAGTACAAAATAAATAAATTTGCCAGGTTTAATCAAAATGTAAAAATATATAAACAAGCAAACTAGAACATTTTACAATAAGTCTCCATGAACGCAACATGGGTATTTTAACTTTACAACTTTTTGAATTTTCTACGTTAATATCCGTAAAAAAACACTTTAATATACTAAATTATTATTTTTTTAGTTATTAAAAAATGAGAGAAAAAGGGAAATCTTGTGTTTTGAGGGTCAAAAATGAGAAACCGCACAGCGCTCCTGATAACTTTAATTATATAATTTTCTGATATAACGATATATAATTTCTGATATACCTGTTTCACCCTCTTGGTCCGGGCCGGTACTAGTTTGAGGAAGGTTGAGACAGCATAGGGGTTGGGCCGAGTGGCGCGCGCCGGGCCGTGTGAAAGCTCCAATAAAACAATAGCCTTCATCTCTGAGTCGACCGGGTCCGGCGGCCAAGCCGCGCAGCCTTGTTTGTCCGCCGTAGGGGTGTCCGGCGGTAACTCGCGTGCCGTGCGGCATGCACCGGACATCGTGGAAAAGACTCATCTAGATCTACTCCCATAGCCCAACACCGGATCCGGCGGGGACGCATGGCACGCACGAGTTACCACCGGACAAACAGCGCCGAGCGGCGTCCACGCCGGACAACTTGGCGAAGGGTTAAATTGCTTTTTTTTGGAGCTTTCATACGGTCCGGCGTGCGCCGCACGGCCATAGATAAACAGACAAGGGAAACAATGGTCTATGGCACGGCCTAACCCCTAGGCTGTCTCAATCTAGGCAAACTACCTGACCAAGAGGGCGGAACAGGTATGTAATAAATTATATATAGTTGTATCAGAAAATAATATATTTTAAGTAATTGCAAAACATCTATTTTCTTGTTTA